CATTAAATGCTCCATATCATTTTAGCGGACGTGGGATATTAGTTGTTTGAGTATGGATATTGTTTGGTAATTGATCGACGAGTTATTGTTCTGTTAGGTCTGGATATTAGCCATGGAATGTTTGGATATTAGTTTGCATTGTCGGGATATTTTCCCCTCATATTAGTTATATGAGATCCAATTATTAGTTATGTGAGGTTTCAATATTAATTTGTGCTTTCTGGATATTAGTATTGTGATATTAATTGTGTTTGCTTGAATATTAGTAATGTCATGTCTAGATATCAATATGCTCTGTGTGGATATTAGTTAAATGGTAATAGTTATGTGAGGTCATAATATTACTTTAGTGAGGTCTGGATATGAGTCTGTATCTACTGAATATTAGTTATGTGATATTAGGTCTGTGTAGCTGAATATAGTTATTTAATGTCCAAATAGTAAATTCAATTCTCTGGATACTAGTATGTGAGGTGTAGTTGAATGTCTAAATATATTATACTCATGTGTTTTAGGGATTTTGCACACACCTGCAAATTAATATCCAAATAACACAGCCAAATATCCGATCGTCCTAAACTAATATACACATAGTTTAATAAAGACATGAATACTGGGTAGATGAAGGATGGATACTGAACACATAATAATAGTTCATTTCAACAATGATACTAGTAAGTAGATAAATATGGATAAGACTCCCCCACAACATGGATACAATTTCATTGGTGTTATCGTCATCATCCGACTATGAATCGAAAATAAAAACAACTCAACAAGGACATCAAGAAACATTGGCACGAACCAATCCATATAAACGTCACAACCCTTGTCATGTACGTCCACATAGACACCCTTCTTAATAATGGATATTAGTTATCAAACTAATATTTCAACAATGATACAAATTCAGTAGATAAACATCCATACAAAACAAATATCCAAACCACCAAGACTAATATCTCACCGTCGCAAACTAATATTCGTTCACCATACAAATATCCACACCACCAAGACTAATATCTTACCGTCTCATACTAATATACAATCATCCAAAATTAATATCTCACTATCACATAATAATATCCACCACACACAGACTAATATATGATTATCTCATACTAGTATCCGATTACACAAATATCCTATTACACACACAAATATCCACACACCAAAAACTAATATCCTTCCATCACATAATAATATCCTATCACCACAGACAAATATCGAACCACCCTACAATGTGTTCATAACCATTTCTGCGATATCGTCTTCTAAACTCTAAACCATAAACCTAACCCTAAATTTTAAACAGTTAACGCTAAACCAAAACCCTAATCCTAACTCCGAACCCCTGACCCCCTAAACCCTAAACTCTAAACTATAAACCCAAACTCTAAACCAAAACCCGAACAATAAAATTGAAACCCTAAAGCAAAATTCAAACCCTAAACCTAAAATCCTAACCCTAAACCCTACACTCTAACTTGTAAACCCGAACCCTAAACCCTAAATTGGTGTAATCAATTTCGAGTGGTTGAGTTATTTTGGGGTTTGGTAAACATTAGTTGAATGATGGATACTGGTTTGTGAAAGATGGATAGGAATTTTGATAATACAAAATACTAGTTCATCCAACAAAGATACAAACTAATATCAACACAACATAGACTAATATCGTCTAAAAAAGATAAATATCTAATCAAACAAACATATATAGATATCACAAAGTTAAATGGTAGTGGGCATTGGAACAAAGAGAAAGGGGTCGAGAGAGAAAAGAGTGGTTGGGCGTTGGAAGAGAAGAGAGATGCAGAGAAAAGAGAAAAGAGAAAACCAAGAAAGAGAGGGGTTGAGCATTAAGTGCCCAATCACTTCCTTCTTTTTTTCTTTCCAATTTTCGTTACCTCTCTCTTCCATTTCTCTTTCACATCTCGTCCAAATCAATTATCTTCACTTCCTCTTTCATCGATGGACCCGCAACCAATAATTCGGGTCTGGATCATGTCAGTAAACTTAGGGTCAATAACTATGAGTAACACGTCCACATCAGCATCCTCTCTCTTATGGAAAGCTTTCCTCCTTTAACCTTTAATGGACAATTTCTCACTCGTTTTAAGTCGATTTTTTTTTCACAGATAAATCAAATTAATTGTGCTCTTCAAAATGATAGCTATTTTGATATATTTTTAGCACTAAAAAATTGAGGCATTTTTTACGAGTCTATACCATATGGTATTGACTAGTATTAAATAAGAGCATACCATGGTGCTATAAACATGCAAAGTCTGTAGGATGGTTGAATACATGATAGTAGGGGTGGAAGTTTGGTTTGCGGGTTGCAGATAACCCACAAACCGCACCAAACCGCACACTTTGTGGATACCCATACCCACAATTTGTGGATAGTGGGTTGGGTGTGGGTATCAAAATATTGATTTTTGTGGTTAGTGGTTAACCACTACCCACAGTGGTTTACCCACAAAATCCACATTAACCACATTAGTTATATTTATTTTTTCAAAATACTTTGTAACCCACATTAACCACATTAGTTATATTAGTTTGTTAAACTCGGAAGACTAAGAATTAAAGTAGCTACCAAAATCAAATATGCATTTATTTTATAAAACAAAACCAAGTCAATACATAATGTTCATGTGAGATACTTTTATTAAATAAGCATTGCCCCTGTGGTATATGTTTATTTTATAACAAAACCAAGTCCGTAGATATAGTCAGATAAATTAATCGATTCGTTAAAAGAGGAGAATAATCAATAAAGGCTAGTCTGATACCCAAACTCATCTCCATTTCTCCACGAACTCACGAACAACACAACATGCAACCAGCTACCAACAATACAAGACTATAATCGATTAATCAAGAGTGGAGAATAATCGATTCATTAAAAGAGGACACCTCCACTTATCGAGTCACTTTTGTGTTTTGCTGTTGTTGTCATCGGAGGAGCCGTGACATGCAACAATGTTAGTCGGGTAACATATCACTCCGCCTCTTCGTTATCTTCAAATCTATTTCCAAATCCATCTCTTTTGAATTTATACTAACTAACCTATTGTATTCGATATTTATAATTTATTTTACACTTTATTAACTTTCTTTTATGTATGTTTTTTGTTTTTGTGTGAGAAGAAATACAACCTCACTATTTAATTACCATATTATTATTTTTAATCTAAAATTTTTGTGGATATCCACAACCAACCCGCAACGGGTAGTGGTTAACCACTACCCACTGCGGGGCGGGTTGTGGGTAGCATAATTCTATATTTGTGGATGTGGTTACCTGCAAAATGTGGGGCGGGTAGCCACACCCACCCCAATTTCCACCCCTACATGATAATAGAAGTATACTAACTGTCATTTACCACTTTCATCAATGTGTACCACAAGTTACCACCCCATACCACGGTGGCATAGTATGTTATTTTTTGGTCCTGTATTTTTTTCATCCAGAAATTTGTAGATTCAATAGATCATGATGAACTCGGTCCTTATGTGCAAATATTTCAAAAACGACTTTAAAACGAAGGAGATACCATATTGTATGGAGTTGGTAACGAGAGGTATGAAAAACATTTTCTCAAAACATATTGAAAATTGATCTCAATCTGTAGAGCACAACGAACTCGTTCCATTTGTGCAAACAAAATTGAAATTCGAGTTAGAACGAAGAAGATAAGAGTCGATTAAGAAAACTAGGAAAAATAAAATGCATTTAATTCACAACCCTTAGATCTGGATATGCTGTGCTCACTCATGGGTGAGTAACCAATGATTAGTGACCCTATCTTGAGCTCAATAATTCAGCTCCATCGGCTAGGCCAACTTGCCCAAGAAAGTATCAAAAAGCTCACTTAAGTGAGCCAAGAAGAGCTCACCCACCTCACTCCTTGGATCAAGAATATTAAAAATTACATAGGAATGTTCATCCTAATTAATTATTACTAACTATATAAAAATAATAAATAAATTATCTAAATAAAGTGACGAGATCAACACTAAATTGATTTTGTAAAAAAACACTCATCAATTACCCTCTTTTTCCTCTCTAACCATCGTGATCAAACACTTTCTCAAATTCTCTTTTCCGACTTTTCCCACCCAAATTTCCCTATTTTTCCTTAGAATAAAAACTAATCTTAGACCATCCACAACGTGGTAGGCTAAAGTGGGAAAGTGGGAAAATTTCTCCACAATAGGGTAGGGAAAAATGGAGAAAAGAGGAAATAAGGAAAAAGAGGGTGGATAAACTCACCCATAAGACCATCAACAATGTGCGTGCGAGAGAAAGGTGGGAAAAATAGGGAAAAGAGGAAGAGAGAGGTTTTGGTCACAATGTGTGGTGAGAAAAGTAGGGAATTAGTTTAGTACTTTTTTGTTAAAATCAATCTATAGTTGATTTCGTCACTTTATTTTTATATAATGATCACTATTTTTACGTAGTTAGTATTAATTAATTAATACGAAAAATTTCAGTATAATTTTTTTTAGGTTTAATACACTTGTATCTCCAAAACTTTCACGGTTGTGCCAATAATATCTAAATTTCCCGGAATACCACTTATATCCATGTTTTAAAGTTGTTCTTTGCCAAATCTATCCATTTCCCAATATATTTTTGGGTAAATACACTTGTATATCCAAAAACACCTTTAAAGAATGTGAAGGAATTGGATATAAGTCGTATTTCCGGAAATTTGGATATTATGGGCACAACCGTGAAAGTTTTGGATATACAAGTGTATTAAACCTTTTTTTTTTTTTATATATTTTTTTCACCTCTAATTAAATATAGCATCATTGATTCTGTCTATTGCAGATAAAAGCAATCAAAACACCTCACAATAAAGAAAAGTAGAAAACCATTAAAACAAATAACTTACAGCATAAAAGAAATTAAAAAAATAAATTATGTGCGGGCCCGACAGTGGACCTCTTCCCCCACCACTGTGCTGGTACCACCGCGCCGCCCAATGAGACGTTATTATGAGGAGGAGTTCCCAACCCTCGTTGCAATCGAGTCCCCGGAACCCACCTCCCCGTTCGCTAATAGCCGAGTCAGAACAAGCCCTTATGCATCATTTCTTCTCGAAGCCGGGAGGCTCTCTGCTGCCATTGTTGTTGCTATACCTGCGTCTCCCAAGTTGTCTTGTAAACACATCACAGCTGAGGAGCTTGTGGCTTCAAAGCCACCGCAGTCGTCAAGGGGTTTGCAGAAAATCCCGCCGACCGTGGTTGCTGCTACAGGTACACGTCTGTTGGGGATGCTTCAGCCCAATTGGAAATCAAGGAAGACAAAGGAGGAAGATGGCGGCGAAAATCACGATGTCACGGGTAGCCGAGGCATGATTTGCGGTTGTATCGGTCCGAGCATGGGGTGGACTCACTAGCGCCTTGCTTTATGGAGTTGGTTCGGAGAGTTCCTCTGATGGCGATCTTACTATGGAGTCAGCGGGTTGTGTTGCGAATACAACCAGGGATCAATCTAGGGAGTACGATAGGAAGAGTCAGGCTGCAGCGAGAGCAATTGAAGTTGATGGCGGGGTTCATTTAAAGGAAGAGGATTGGGGGTTTGTGGGGAATGCCCTTTTTCCATGCTTATGTACATGGTAGGCAGGAGGTATGCATGGGGAGGATTATTTAGAAGAGACAGATTCGAGGACAAGTCTATTCATGCATGACGAGATGCAATTGGGAGGCGGTGAGGGTTGTTGGACGGAAGGGAGGTTGTGGCCGTTTGGCCTCCAAATGGCGAGGATGCTACTCTGAGCAAAAGAGAGCTTGAATGGAGCGTAAAGGAAGGGTCGAGGGTGTTTGAAGCTTGCGGAGATAAAGGTTTGGTTTGAGTGCCTCCAACGTAATTGTAAATTTCATAAACGAGGTTGGCGTCGTGGATATTCACTCTCTTCATCATCGCCATCACACGTGGGAGCGAGACTTTTTCATGGATCCAGGTCGAGACGGTGCTTGAACTTCGGGACGAAGTTCTTCGAAGGGGAGGTTGATGAGTATAAATATATTATTGCTATTAATTATTGTGGTATGTTTGGGGGAATCGGTTTCTGTAGCCAACATGGGGGAATAATTAGTGTTATTAAGGGTAGGGATAATTATAGTAAGGTTTAGTGTTTGATTAGGATTCGTACGTAGGGGATTGGGTGGAGTGGCGGCCAAGCTAGGGCCGAGTAGGGTTAGTTTGTATTAGGTTTTCTCATGCTTTCTTATAAATATGTACTTTGTGGTTCAGACTTAAAAATCAAAGAAGAAGAAAACCTCTAATTTAGTTGTTTTAGTTTATTTAACGTTTTTGTGCTGCGATGCTTGATCCGTAAATACATAAAGGCAAAACATGGGTTGAAATTCTCCCATTTCAAATTTTGTGGCCTGAGAGTGATTCTAGGATGGTCATTTTTGTCATTACACTTAGGGCTGGGAAAATAGACCAGACAATTAGAATAACCGTGGTCCAAACCGTACCGCACAGTTTGGTCCGGACCGTAAACCGTGAAATATGGTCTGGTCTGGTCCATGGTCTGTATTATTTTATGATTTGATCTCTTGGTCTGGTCTGGTCTAGAACGCGGTTTACCGAACCAAACCGTAGACCCAACTGACTTGTCAATACGTGTTAACAGCCCATTCGACCACTCTCCAAACTCCCACAACAACACCCAAATCTCAACCTTAATTTTGTGAATCTCTTCCCTCATTTATTCACAACCACATTTAACCACAGAGTAGAGATAATCGTGTCTCCATATGACATTATGTTAATGTTTATGACATTATGGTGCAAGCTGGGATGCTTTTACTTTGTATCTTTGTTATGTAATAAGATTTAGAGTATCAAAATTATTCATACATGTTAGGATTAATATTTTAAGGCAAATAACAATTATTTTTCTTGGTTATTAGTTCAATTTTTTGTGTGGTTGACTAAAGAAATTATTCATTTTTCGTTGAGTGTGGTCTATCTGGACCAGACCAGACCGAACCAGACCGCACAGGCGTGGTCTAGACCGGACCGTATAGTCTATGGTCTGGTCTGTGGTCTATACTTTAGCCTCTCGGTCTAGACCCTAGACCGTATATATGGTCTGGTCTGGACCAGACCGCACCGTTTCCCAGCTTGCACTCAATTCATGTATATATATTAAAAATGTTATTATTGGAGTTCGAACCTTGGTCACTTAAACGAATAAACAACATTGTAACCAACTAGGCTACATTTTATTTATTGTTATTACTTTGATTAAACTCTAGGAATATAGTTGGTAATGATGCTTCTATATTTATATTTTGTCTTAAGTTATTTATAATTTATATTATATAGAAAGAGATTAGTTCTGAAATCGAAACTCAAGTAGTATTGATTCAAACATTAATATTAAATTGTATGTGTTGTTTAGTTTAGACAAAATACAGAAGTGTAACCAAAACATTGACCTTTGTGACGAGTATAATCATTTTTTTGTGACCAATCTACACATAATATAATGATAAAATTGGAAAAAGAGAACTCAATTTCAAATTTCGTGGCCTGAGAGTGATTCTAGAAAGCTCTTCTTCGTCTTAGTGTCACAAAAAATTATCATAATTGGGTTTAATGTGATGTTCATTAAGCCATAATTGGTTGTGATTATTATTTTTGTTTGAAGAGACCATGGTTCAAATCTTAATGTTATACTTTTTCATATGAAGTAGATAATAATTGTAATGACAAAAATACTTTTCCGACTTTCACTCTTGCTTCACGAAATTTGAAATAGAAAATCTTAAAACAATGAATATATCTTATAGACAGAGCTTCTTCAACCAAGTAGGAATGGTATTTTACATGAAATTATAATATCTCATAGAAAGTGATTAATTGTGAAATTGGAACTCAAGTAACATTGATCAAACATTGAATAATAAATTGTATGTGTAGTTTAGTTTAGACAAAATACATATGTGTAGCCAAAACATGGATCTTTGTGACAAAAATAGTAATTTTTTTGTCACAAATTTACACATAATATAAAGATAAATTGGACACTAAGACGAAAAAGAGCTTTCTAGAATCACTCTCAGGCCACGAAATTTGAAATTGAACTCTCTTTTTCCAATTTTATCATTATATTATGTGTAGATTGGTTACAAAAAAATTATTATACTCGTCACAAAGGTCCATGTTTTGGTTACTCTTCTGTATTTTTTCTAAGCTAAACAACACATACAATTTAATATTAATGTTTGAATCAATACTACTTGAGTTTCGATTTCAGAACTAATCTCTTTCTATATAATATAAATAACTTAAGATAAAATATAAATATAGAAGCATCATCACCAAACATATTCCTAGAGTTTAATCGAAGTAATAACAATAAATAAAATGTAGCCTAGTTGGTTACAATGTTGTTTATTCATTTAAGTGACAAAGGTTCGAACTCCAATATTAACATTTTCAATATATATACATGAATTGAGTGCAATGACAAAAATGACATTCCTAGAATCACTATCAGGCCACAAAATTTGAAATGTGAGAATTCCAACCCATGTTTTGCCTTTATGTATTTTGTAGATTAATTTAATCTTAATATTTGTGATATTTGAAATATTTTATGTATGATTTAGAAGTATAATTATTATTTGTGACATCAGTTGTAGTTTATTTAAATGTTGTTTTTCAGTCAAAATTGAATATTGGGTGCATTTATGACTGTTGTTATCTTGGTGTAGTAAATAGGTAGAAACTTAATCATTATAATGCATATAACTATACCTAGGCACATGGTCGAGCTAGCACGACACATTTAGAGCATACCATGAAGACAATATATATATATATATATATATATATATGGATCGGCATGAATGCTTCATGGGTTGTACCAGACTTAAAGAGCTCGCACTCACAGTCTTTATTGGTGAACTCATGTTTTATGGAGAAATGCGTCTCATGATAAAATTTAAAAATGAGAGTTTCCTTTCAAATTTCGTGGGCTTAGATTGATTCTACGAACCTCTTTTTCGTCATAGCGTCAAATTTATCTTCATATTATGTGTAGATTTGTCATAAAAAATTACTATATATGTCATGAAGACCCCATATTTTGGCTACACACATGTATTTTATCTAAACTGTACCACACATACAATTTAATATTTAATGTTTGAATCAATGTTACTTGACTTCCAATTTCATAATTAATTACTTTCTATAAGATATAATAATTTGGTTTATCTTCTTGAATTGTAAGCATACACTTAGCGAAGATTTGAAAAGCAGAGGAATTTTCCATCACGGTTAGCTAGCCTATTAAGTCTTCTGAAAAGCAAAGTTTAATACGTGATTTATAATTTTTTATAACCTATAAAATGACGGGTAATCTTAAAATTGCAACTGACACGCCAAAACACAACACCAATCTGCGACCAAGTGTAATCGCAGACCGGGAATGCAGTAAAGTGGCAAGTTATATTATCAACCCGGGGTCTAGATCTACTGCTTAGTAAGTGATTATCTATTATCTAGCCAACTAAGTTAAGTGTTTGTTGTTTAAAGCAAAAGCAGAAAGAAATCAGGAATTCGTACGGTTTTCTCAAGCAAAGAAGAGTCACTCGGGAATGAGTCCCCCTACCTCCTTAGTTAGGTTTCAATTGTAATTTCCCTGGGTTGATTTACTGTTGATTAGACTGCGGAAGATCCGACAGTAGCTTGGAATCTCTTAAGCTGACCAAGCCCTCTCAGACTAACTACCCGGCAGACGACTAGTCTTCACCGGGATAGAAAGCTGAAGCAGTAAGAACAGAACTCCACTACTGGAATTGAATTCCAATACAAAGCAGTAAACTGGCTAACTCTCGTATAGCCAATCCCCTACTACCGAATGATGAGGCTCTAACAACCTAATCATATTCTATCTATCTCAGGTTGCAGCAGAAATCAGGAAAAGCTGATCAGACTTCAATTGACTCAATAAACATGCATCATTCGATTAAAACCAAGCAGTAATATCATCCCAAGTCATTACAATCAAATCCCTAACACATAGAACTAGGGTTCTTCATACCCAAGTGAGAGAAGGGTTCTACTCCATAGAGAGAGAGAGGGAAACAGAATACAGAGTAGTCATACTCATAACGATGAGGAAAATCTGCTCTGGGATGATGATTTCCACTCCTATGACAATCTCCAAGCTCGATTTGATGAAACCCAGCTCCAAGATAGCTTCTAGGATGTGTTCTTCGTACTTTCTCTCTCTAGGGCTCTGTTTTTGCTCTCAAAACTCGATTCTCCCACTTTCAGCCCGAAATTGGGTAAAAACCCAGAAATTCCCGACTCACACGGGCAGGTCCACACGGCCGTGTGGCATACCCAGTTGCCCGTGTGACTTCAAAACGCCGCGTTCCGATTAGTTGCACTTCAGGCTTCCTACACGGCCAGGGTCACACGGCCGTGTAGCTCACCCAACCTGGCCGTGTGAAGCCTCGCAAAATCTCACACGGCCAAAGTGCACCTTCACACGGCCGTGTGAATATCAGGTCTGGCCGTGTGAAGGCTCGCACAATCTCACACAGCCAAAGTGGTCACTTGCACGGCCGCGTGGCTTCTGGTTGTGCCCGTGTGGCTTCCTTTTTGACTTGCCTCGCGCCCGATCTTCGTCCAATCGACCCCGAACTCGCTCCTAAACCTTCATTCACTTGCTAGGACCTGAAATATCGCAAACAAACACAACCTAGCGTGAAATCGGCCTAAAACACGAGAATTACCATCTCAAACGGCTCCAGAATAGGGGTAAAAACATGTGCAATTAACGGCTTATCAGCAACACAAATTTCAATGCTTGAAATACTACATATCGAATTGCAGTATTGAATATGCAAAAGAGGTAGAATTTTTTAAATAAATATAAATTTTCAGAACTACTACGAAACAATAATATTTTGTACAAACTATAGGTGATTGGTTCTCTAAAATTTTAGTATGGTAAATTGTTAAACATTAAACCTCTTACTAATCTGGCATGAATGGACCCGACAATAATGACACGATATTGGGTTTAATGTGATGTTCATTTAGCCATTTTTGGATGTGTTGATCAATTTAAGGGCATTAACATTATACAATTTTTACTCTTTATAATAATTAATTTAATATTAATATTTGTGATGTTTGAAATATTTTTGTATGATTTGGAGATATACTTATTATTTGTGGCATCAATGGTAGTTGGTTCAAATGTAGTATTTTATCAGGTAGTCAAAATCAAATACTGGATGCATTTATGACTGTTTTTTTATCTTGGTGTTGCGAATAGGTAAGAACTTAAATATTATAATGCATATAACTATACCCAGGCACAGTTAGAGATGCCATGAAGTCAATGTATATGGATCGGTCCTATACAAGCATGAATGCTTCAAGGGTCGTACCAGACTTAAACTTCAAGAGCTTGCGCACAATTGCGAACACCACACAGTCTATATTGGTGAACTCATGTTTTATGGAGAAATGCGTCATTTGAAAGGAATAAGCGGTCATCTGTTCGCCAGGTTTCAGGTCCTTTGATTCACACTATCAACTGTGAATGGAGAAGAAGCATTTTGAACCCAAAATTGGAGAATTAATTGGGATGTTTTCAGGTTTCTCTCGATTCCAGGCGCTGGGAAAAAAAGAGGAAGGGAAAGGGAGAGAGTGGTGAGATACAAAGCTCAGAGAGAGATAGATGGAAGAACAAACGAAAAAATAAAGAGGATTATCAAGGACCTGCTGGGCAAGTGTAGCCATCACCTTCTCATCCAGCCTAATCCACACCTCTGTTGATATGACCTCGAGGATCTAAGCCCTCGAGTATGATTAACTTAGCGGTGGAGGGTAATACCTGCTGGCATCTCAAAGCAAGCCCATCGTTCGCCGACTTGAGAAGGAGCTCGCCGATTGGAGAAGGAACTCACCGGATCGATCTTCTCTCCCTCCGCTAGAGGAAGAAGAGGCGGATGTAGCAGCTTCGTTCGATGGGGAGGTCGAGTTTGGGGGGAGGCTGGGAGAAGAACGATGGGAGTTGGGGTTAGCAAAACGACACCGTTGGTCTAAGTGAACAAAATGGGAAAAAAGTGGTTGAGGGATCGAACGTTGGGCTCATTAAAAGGAATGGGGGCGTAACCCGTTGGGCAACGTGGAAAATCCGTCTCTCATTTTCCATCAAACAATCTTTTATTGTTTTCGACTGCCTCTTTTATTTCTCATGGTTTTTTCCAACGATAATGAAATTGCAAGTGAACATGTTTCTTACCATTTGAATTTTTATTTTTGTTGTCACATAAAAAACAGAAAACAAAATGGCAAGTGAACGGGACATAAGAGAGAGTGAGAGGACATATTTGAAAGAGGGGGAAAATGAGGTAGTTGAAATAATTGTCCTTCTGCTTTGCTTAGTGGGTATTCTTAGCCCTATTGAGTTTTGATTTATTTTAGGAGATGACATTATATTTGTAGATTTTTTCCATTTCAATTAAGGGGTCATTTGAAAGTTGCGATTGTTTTGTTGAGATTGTTATTATAATGTATTGTTTAGAATGCATCATTTTTTTTTATTTTTTAGTAGAAACAATATATGGATTGCATCTGTGATGTGACAGAAACTATCACTCAAAATGAGTGATTGTTATATCTCAACTTTTAGTTGTGATTGTTGAGATAGTGGAGTTGGGATTGTTTTGTCCCAACTTTTAGCTTATGTGACATACACGATGCATCTTATTCGACAATACATATATAATATTGTACATGCATTCACAACAAAACAACTATTTAACAATCGAACTTCCGAACGACCCCTTAAAATCCTAAATCAATATTATCATTTGGATGATTTTTTTCTTAATACGACTATGGTAATTTCTCAAATTTAAGGGTATTTGATAATGTCAATATTTTAGTGGTTTTTTATTTAAAGTTTGAATTGAAAGATCGTACGTACTAGCGATTCGACCATAAAACTTCACACCATAGGCTAAATCGATACGTGATAATTAGCAATATGAAACGGTTGAACCACAGTAAAATTATGATTTCAATATACAATACTCTACAACCAAAATTTTGATACTAATACAATCATTTGGTTCAAACAATTCTTTTACGTGGTAACAAAAGTTTTAAGACACATTTTGAACTATCTATTGCAAAAAAGCATAAGTTAGTTAGCGATAATGAGAATATGTGATCTCATTCAACTTCTATATTTTAGAAATAAATGTATGTTACTTATACCCTCTACCCTCGCTCATTCATCAAATTAATGAGTAACATATATTTCATGGATATGATTTTCATAAGCTTTTATTTATTGAATTATTTCATGAAAAAAAATATTTGTTGCATGAAAAAAAGAATGTTCTTTATTGGGAAAAACTTAAAGGACATACTAAACTCTATGAAAGACATTTTCTTTCATCTTAAAGGTTGATTATGTATGTATTATGAGAAACAACTCTAATATTCAACTATATGGTTTAATTAATTAATGAATGACAATTAGTTATATTTATTTCTTTGTTCATTCAATAATTATAAGTAATACTTATATTATATATTTTTTTCTCTTTTCATGGAGGTCTAAACACATTATGCATAGTTGGATCACTTTCAAATATGTTATATGCAAATTAAGATAGAAAATAATCATTTTATGCATTTCAAAACATCTATTATATATCGTATTTCTCGACAATATTCTTCCGGCCAACGGGCCGAACCCTATGCTAGTTAACTCTATAAGACCATCTCCATCCCATTGCTTATACCTATTGCTTATTTAGTTGGATCCTAGGTGGAACCACTTTTAAGCAATTGCAAGGATGTGGGGGGTGCTTTCTTATTTAGCAAGATTGCTAAATAAGAAATCATCATGCAATGCCACCTATGATATCTTTTATTTTTCAATTACTTTTTCTTTCTTTGTTATGTGGTAAGAAATTGTATGGGTCCACTATTGGCAATTGCTTATTGGTTTTAGGGATGTAGGGGGTTTGGAAATGATTGAATATGATTTTTGTTTGATTGATGATGTAGCGATAAGGGCCCACTTTAGAAATTGCTTATTGATTGCAGAGTTGTAGATGTTCTAAGGGCCCACTTTAACATCTCCATCTCATTGCTTATTGAGTGGAATCCTATGTGGCAATAGCTTTAAGCAATTGCAAGGATATAACACTTCTTTCTTATTTAGCAAGATTGCTAAATAAGCAATCCCCTTTGCAATGCCACATAAGCAATTGGGACCCACACATTCATGCACTCAACTTCTTTCTTTTTTCTTTCTTTCTTTTCTATCCACTTTGTACACATAAAATGTTAAACTAATAATTCTTGTGCTTATGATTTGTTTAAGTTGTTAATAAATTAAAATTAAAATTATATTGAACATGAAAACTTAATACAAAGATGTATAGTTGAAGAGATTTGGAATCGATTTGGAGGAGAGGAAGATGACGAGTAGTCTAGTATTTTTTTTGCTTTCATTTTGAATTTTGAATTTTGTTTTGCATTTTTTGTATTTTATTATGTAATTTTTCTTTATTTCTATTTGGTGTATGTTATGTATTTTGTGTTTATTGAATTTTCAAAAGTCTATTATCTATTATGCAAATGTATTATTAAGGAAAAGAATATGTAGTAGGTCCCATCAATTGCAATTGCTAACCTATTATAGGGACGAAGGTGGTTTGAAATAGTTAAATTGAATAATTGTTAAAATTAGTGATGTAAATGTGAGGTCTGATGTCTAACTTATTGGAGGGATGAGGATGGTCTAATAGTTGGCACAACTTGTGCCACGGCACGCACGATCCATTTCTTTTTTGTTTCTTTCCTTTCAACTTTTAGTTACTGACACGATCCATTTCACAGAAGACAGCGAAATAGCAATTAAATTATGACGACGGAGACAGATACACGAAGAAAGTCAAGGGAGGGAGGGAGAGAGTTCAAATGAGTAGTGGATACTGGATAGACACGGTGACGGTGCTCACTCGGTCTCGGATTCTAATTCCTCACTGATCCATTAAACACAACAATTAACCGAAAATCGCCACCACGTGTTCCGCTGTCTGTGGGAGCCCGGTGGAGATCCAAACGCTCATCACTCATCAGCCAACCTCACCATCGCCATCGCCATCGCCATCGCCATCGCCATCGCCATCCTTCACTTACGATAACGAACTAATCTAGCAAGTGCAATACGGAAACGGTACTGGCAATGGCGGGCTCGCTACACTGATTGAGCGAAAGGAAGTCCATGGAAGCTTGCCGATCCTTTCTCTCTTCGCTTCCTTGTTGAATCTCTGAATTGTACTGCCACTATTCCCTCCTGTTGAAGAGAAGGGACAGAATGGAGAGTCCTCTGCTGGGAGAGACTAGCGACTCCAGCTACCAGCGGCCGGAGCACTTCTACCGCCGCGCCGACGCCATCACCTACGGCTCCAATTTCCAGAAGGCCGCTGCTCTCGTTGATCTGGTTTCCTTCCCCTCTCTCCTTCACTCACTCACTCACTCCCATGCCGCCTCCTTGGATTTGAATCTGGATGTCCTTTCTGTCTTTTTTTCCGCTTTGCTTATGATCATAAATTGTTTTTAGTCTGCTTGGTCTTCGATTGAGTTCTGGTAATGGCGGCTTCTTATTCTTGTGTTTGAGAAAGAATGCGGCGCTCAATTTTGCAGGCGGAAGATGGCGTTGGTTTGCCTGAGCAAATTCTTGACCATTCAAGCTTTGGAACTGCTGCCAAGTACTACTTCGTGTTTATCAAGTTCGACTTCATCTGGACGCTTAATTACTTTGCTCTCATTCTCTTGAACTTCTTGGAGGTATGGTGTTCCCGCCTGCAACTTCCTTTATTTAACCTTTACACTGCTGAAATGGAGCTTACGGTAATTGACTTTCCATCACTTGCTTTTGTTCCTGGTCCAGAAACCGCTGTGGTGTGCAAATTGTGCTGATGATTGCTGCAAAGACAGAGGTTACTTCTATCTTGGACAGCTGCCTTACTTGAACACTTTGGAGACCCTTATCTATGAGGTATGAGGAAACACGCTTTTCAGTTGGCTTATGAGGAAACACGCTTTTGTCACCTCTGCCTTTCTGCCATGCTGCATTCCTCTACCTGTGAGCTTGGGTTCCGTTTATCATGTAAGATCCAGAGAGCTCTTTCTAAGTAGTTCTTCTGAGCCGGCTGATTTTATAGGGTCCATTGTGTTAATAATAGCTCTAAGGAGGTTGATGCGGTATTCAGAGCCAGAGGTGACAAAAGAATTCGTCGAGTGTAATACGAGTGTTGCCTGCATCATTGTGTTTTTCATACTCAGACAATTCCTCATGCCTAATGGCAGTTTGCTTACAGTTCATGTTGTCCCATAATAGCTTGAAACCATTAGTGGTTACATCCATAGATAATCTCCCCCATCTTCTGAAATTATTTTGTTGGGAGTTAAAGCTGCTTATCCAAATGTTCTGTGTTTTTATAATAATTATATAAAGGGAAGGATTTTTCTGTTTACTCCGGTAGTTGAAATTTTCTTACCGCTCACCTGTGTTTACTTCCTCCCCTCAAGATATTACTATGCTAGAATATTTCTACCATGCCTACAGCTGATTGGGTAGAAGTTCTAATTGGAAACCAGCGACATTCTGGACAATTTATGTTCATCTATTCCATTGAAGTGCTACGAATTCCAGATTGAACCACTTATTACTTGGTGCGATCCAGAGCGAGTGATGCAAAATTGTATATTTGTTTCAGCAACCATGATTACAGATATGCAAATGGAATTTGAATATGATTGAATGCATCTGCAGTGTTTGATTTCCTCTGAGTATTCATACTTGAATTTTCTAAGCCAGCAACCTTTTGCTGATATTTCATTCATTTGGAAGGTTCTAAACATATAAGGTTATATAGAAGATTCAGTCAAATGAACTCCATTATACCTGCTACTACTCTGATCTGAAACTGAAAGCATAACGCAAGTAACTCAATTTCTGAACCTGGTACAATGACCTCAGACACACGTCTAAAATTTCGATACACTGGAATGTGTTTGCAGTGACTTTTCTAGTTTCAGACACTTTATAGTTTATACTGTTTGTCATCTCTTGGTTCCTCGGACATGTTTACTTTTGTGATCTGGCCTTATGGAACTAACTGAATTTCTGCTTTACTGTGCAGGTCATAACTTTCATTATACTCATAGCTCACATTTTCTTTCCACTTTTATATGAAGGCCCCCGGATATTCTGGAAAAATCCTTTCCATTGGTTTAAGGTATTTAATCCTTATGCTCCGATTCTGCTTGTCTTTCTGGGGTTTGTTTCTTTCCTTTTTTAAGTCAAGCTGCATGCTTGTTTCTTATTCTTGATATTTGTTCAAGAATACAAAAAAAGTTTTGGGTGAGTGTCAGATGTGAGCTATGTCTGGCATGCCATTGTAAGACGAAACATCAAATATGTTTTTTCATCCTTCCAAAGCTTTTACTTGTTTTGCAGATCAGCTATCTCTAATTCTATTCCTTACCTTTTGAGAAAAATCTAATATTGCAGCTTCTTCATTTCAGGTTGTTTGCCTTGCAATTCTGGTTGCTGATTTACTAGTTTATGGCCTCTACTTGTCACCTGTGGCCTTCAGTGTTCTTCCTGTCAGGATTGCGCCTTATATACGAGTTGTCTTTCTCATTCTGAGTATCAGGTATGCTGTGCTAAAATTAACATTTTCCATTGTTCCCATGGTATCATTAATGGAATATACTGTTCCAATTGTTGCACATTTCCTATCTTTTCTCCGAGACTCATGATTTGACATGAGGACAAATTGATATACAAATCTATCGTCTATGATTCTATTATTGTTGTAAGGAAAACATCGTGAGAGTATTATGTTCTTATACTATGATTTTCTCTGAGAAAACTCAGACTCGTGATTTGAGATGTGAAGGCAAATTAATATACAAATCTTTCGTCTATAATTCTATTATTGTTGTAAGGAAAACATTGTGACAGCATTATTTTCTTATGATAGTTATGACACCTGTATGTGCGGCCGTCATTATGATGATGGTCCTAAAAAGTTGAGGATATAGCTGGTTGTTCATTATGTACGAGATATTGCTTGCTGTATGATTTGAACCATGCAAATGAAGTGCAGTTTTATTCAGTGCTCTTCCATTTTTCTGGTGTCTATTACATCAGGTTTGATGAATTTATGCATACAGGCTTCTTTCTGTGTAGCTCTTGTAGCTTTGTATTTTTGTGGGGTTTTAACCTTACTAATACCTTATGATATTTTTTTGTGAGAAAATAATTGCGATTGCAACTGGCTTGATACATTGATACTTAAATTGGGCTTCTAGAATGCAGATATTCCTAGGAGACTTGAGTAATGTGGTTACTGCTTCTCTGCTTATAGTTTTTGGTTTAATCTTGAAAGTGCATGATATGTTTAATGACGATCAGATGACTTGAATTGACATTATATTTTCTGATGTCATCAGGGACTTACAGAAGAGTATCGTGATTCTGGCTGGAATGCTGAGAACATACATAAACATCTTGGTCAGTTGGCTTACTACTTTAACTTATTTTGTGTCCATAATCAGTGTCAGATTTTCGGTTGAAACATGTATTTCCTAGGATTCTCAATCCTTTCTTTCGAGTTGCCAATATATCCTGCAGTTCAGAAGCACATGTGTTGTAATCTTCAGCTATAATCTCCTAAACCCTGATTGGTTTTCCTTGAATTGCAGGCTTTATGGCTTCTGTTTCTTCTGTTTTCTAGTTGGGTGGCCTTTGTCATGTTTGAAGATACTGAGCAGGGGAACACAGTTTTCACGTCATATGCAATCACATTGTACCAGATGTTTATCTTATTTACAACATCAAACAACCCGGATGTTTGGATACCTGCATATAAGTAAGTCTGCCATGAGCAGCTTCATTATCAATGTTCTTGCACAAACGTTTTGGGTATCCTACCTTAGTGATGCAAGTCTTGTGGCACCACCAGGACAGATAGTCATAGTAGTTGACCTTTCCGAAAGATTAATAAGTTCCAGATGTATCATATTGGATCCTGGACAATACCATAAAAGACTCGCCAAGATGCACGCACAAAGCCAAAGCCTATTGTGGTTCATGTGCAGATTCAACTTTTTATCATAATTCTGTCAGTAAGAAGTGACTATAGTGGTGATCTGTTTTGGAATCTTGTATGTGCAAACGAATGAGTATCTTTTCTGTCTTTTTCTTTGAGATGCCTCGGACCATAGTCTATTTATGCAAAATTTGTGAGATTTTTTATACTTATGCAACTTTTCAACCATCTCTTTATGTAACCAGTGATTGTTTTTAACCACCTAGGATCTAGTATCTCTTAGTTGCCCGCTTGTGTCAGTATTCATATACTCAGAATAGTTCAGCTGATTAATTGTTTCTCTTTTCCAGAGCTTCACGCTGGTACGCCCTTTTCTTTGTCCTCTATGTGCTGCTAGGAGTCTACTTCGTCACCAACTTGATTCTTGCCGTTGTATATGATAGCTTCAAAAATCAGGTATGCTGTTGAAGAAATTTTAAGTGGTCTTGCATAAAGTCTTGCCATCAGACCTGCTTGCTCTGGATTATCTAGGTGGGATGATCAGTAGTTTTTGTTATGCCTACATAAAGTCTTGCCATCAGACCTGCTTTCTTAAGTTTTCTGTGGTATTCATGGGGGTTGGGTTTCACCAACTGAAGGTGGTTTCTTGCCATACAAAGAAAAGTCATAATCTGCTTTTGGTGTAGCTCGTGAAACAAGTTGCCGAGGCAGACAACATGAGGAAAAGAACATTAATGAAAGCCTTCAGTCTCATTGATAAGTTTGTAAGTACGAGTGTTGTTATCTACGAAGAATTTTCTCATTTCTCTTATTTGGGACTGTGACTTCATTGTTCTATGAGGTCTATATGTCTGCGTGATCTATATATTAAGCCAAAATCTGCATGTTTTATGGATTTTCAAATTTTCTCCACCGGAGGTCTTTATTAAAGTAGGATAAACTACCATTTTGGGCCTTGAACTTAGCAACCTTTTAAATCAATCCTGGCACTTGAACTTATGTTAAGGGGCCTGAATAGAAAAGTTCATTGGTCAAAATGGTGCTGTAATTGGATTGGATAGTTACTCTCGATTCTCATCATTGACCTCTCACTCAAGGAAAAATAAAGGCATAAATACCAAATGTTACCAAGCAGATAACTTGAAAGAAATTATGTCTAAGTTGCAAGATCTTGCTACATAATCTTGTTCTGGTGCATAACCATATTATAACTGGTGTAAGGGTAACGCCTGGAACATAATAATATAATTGGTGTATGTGCTAGCCTTACTTTATAGTTATGACACCAAGATTACTGTTTATGGTATTCTTTCGCTTCCAGAGTATTTTTCACTTTATGGTCCTTTGGGTTTAAATGGCTTGTTATTATTATTATATTTACAGGACACTGTCTCCCCCCAATGTTTTCCTTTTTATGACACCGCCTCACATCTCCAATTTCCGTATATCTAATGGAGCTCATTGTTATTTATGGGACAGAATGTTGGTCATCTTGATAAAGAACAATGCATCCGTTTGTTTGAAGAGCTTAATCAGTACAGGTACTATTTCCGTAAACCATGTTTGTGTTTTATGTATATGTTCTTTGCTTTTACTTTCAAGTTCAAATTAAGCTGATGAATATCATAGCCATTTGTACCTGTTTAATTGTTACTTAGTTTTTTATTTATTTCTATGATTGACTTCCATTTTATATTTCCTTAGGACTTTGCCAAAAATATCAAGAGAAGATTTTGAATTAATATTCAGTGAACTGGATGATAGTGGTGACTTTAAGGTATATTCATTCTTCCAGCTACAATTATGATCAGACTTCACTTTTCGGTATTTCTGTCAATTATGTGGTGTTTATAGTTTATACGTGGGTTCCTCGATGCACCTTGGGGAAAATATGTGTACTGCTTCCTTGGGTTACCCAGTACTTTTTTATGTTTGAGAAGTGGTATGGTATCACTTTGTCTGGACTTCATCCTTTCATGTAATGATTTTCTGTCACTGGATTTCTTATTTTGGTCTTTCCCACAAGCAGATAAACTTAGATGAATTTGCCGACCTCTGCCATGCTATTGCTTTGAGATTCCAAAAGGAAGATGTTGTAAGTATTTTCCCTTCAAAATCTCTACAACAAGGACCTTCTCCCTGCCTCTCGACTTTGCTTTATCTACACTTTGGTTTCTGGTTGCAGGCATCTTGCTTTGAGTACTTCCCTACAGTCTATCATGCACCATTCTCAAAGAAGCTGAAGACCTTTGTGCGAAGCCCCGTATTTGGCTACATAATATCCTTCATTCTTGTGGTCAATCTTGTTGCTGTTATTATCGAAACAACGGTATGCACAAGCTTTATAGAGATCTCTATCTTGAAGGAACACTGCCTTACTTTCCTTTTCCTTCCAACATACAACTGTGAATTCCTACATGCTCATGTAAACTCTGCTTAGGTGAAATTAGTTGTTTAACAACTGGAAATCTGCGTACGAAAAAATTTCTTGAATTAATGACTTCGTTAGTCAAATGGAAACTTGCACATAGGCAATGTACCAGGTACTTTTTATAATATCTAGTTAATTTCCATGTTGAATTTTCTCATGGTTCCTTCCGAAGTCTTACAAGGAGTTGGGTTAATGTTGCATCCTCGTGGGTAGTCCTGAAAGAATCCATCTGCTTTATTTCGTATCCATTTTTAGGGAATGTGCGACTATCTGTTAGTTATTGTTCTAACAAATCCAGGTCAAGATGCTAATTCTGTGCTTAGGTGATACCTTAAGTAATTGATATTCTAATGAATTGCTCAAAAGATAGTATTATGGAACATTCATCCTGCTAGAGTGAACTAATTCTTAAATGGAGATTGGAACTTTGGCCCTACATCATCCTTCATTACACCAGGATGACAAAGGACTTACGGGTGATGACCCTTTCTTCCATCAGAGTTTCTCAACCTGAGCTAGCTCCCGCTTCGATGATTTTTTAGTTGTATGCTGCTGTCTGAAGATACTTATGTTAATCTTGTAATAATATCATAACATTATGAAGTATGGTTTATGCTGACCATTTGAAATGCCTTTTCTTGTTACTGCAAGTCTTCTCTGAACCTTGCTTGTAAACTTTTTTCCAGCTTGATATAGCAGACAATTCTGGTCAGAAAGCGTGGCAAATTGCGGAGTTTGTATTTGGTAAGGGCTAGCTGGATCATTTACTCTTCCTGTTTATTTGTTTTGGGAAGGTGGTTTTTTCTTATGAACATTGGTTATTGTAACGGTGTGGTTACAAAGGCCCTTATCTTCTCGTAAGCCAATTGAACTCTACCGCAAAGCCAGTGATTCTTAGGGAAATTGGGTCTGCTTGATTTTTTTCAATTATTATTTTAATTCAAACAACAGAGTTTTTAAAGAAACAGATGGCTCCATTTGTCAAAAGGGACATATGAGCCAGGCTAGTGTATATATGCTCAGTGGCAGGACGTAGGCATTTTCCAAACGAATGCGTAAGCTCAAGTAGAATCAGGTAACACACATTTAAGTGAAGCAGATGAATGGTCGGTAGCTCTTGCAAAAGTTGGTGTTTGGTTTGGAGGCCAACTTTGTTTGTATTAATGGTAGTTTAATAATCATTCAGTACTGCAAAAAAAAAGTTCAAATATCTTCCCCAACTTGTAGTCAGGGAAACTAGGGGGTGTATGCTCATGGATCCATGCCACTCAATTGTGTGAAATTTCACGTATTGTCATGCTGAACCACTATCTAATGGCTTACTTTTGGTACATCAGGGTGGATGTATGTGCTAGAAATGGCCCTGAAAGTTTACTCATATGGGTTCTCGAACTATTGGAGGGATGGCCAAAATCGTTTTGATTTTCTCATCACACTTGTCATCGGTAAGGAATCATTATAATCAATTGTTTAGTTATTACCCATAGTAACTTCTGTAGGCCCGTAAGTATTTTCGTAGCACCGTTTTCATATGCATCTGGGTAATAGAAGACCATTGATAGTATCTTAATTTAATGAAAAATCATGTTTTTTTCTTAATTTACTGATTATCTTTGGTTGGAAAGGATTATTTTGAATATGATGTCCTGCACATGGAAGACCAACAATTGTTCTGAACCATTGGTGTGCAGTTATTGGTGAAACTATAACATTTGCAACTCCAGATGGTCTAACATTTTTCACGAATGGAGAATGGTATGTACTATTACCTTGAGGATCATGTTGCTGTTCTACCTTCCCTCTTGGTGTGTGTTTTTATTGTCTTCTTGCATCCTGTCTTTCAGTTTATAAATACATTATGGTCTTCTTTCCTGTTTTCAGGATTCGTTACCTCCTACTTGCCAGAATGTTGAGATTAATAAGGCTGTTGATGTATGTTCGAACTTATCGAGCTTTTCTTGCCACATTTTTAACCCTCATTCCAAGTCTGATGCCATATTTGGGAACAATATTTTGCATTCTATGCATATATTGTTCTCTTGGGGTACAGGTATGCTGGCTACTCATTTTAGATTGCTGGTTATCCAGTATATTTATGTTGGGGCATAACAACAATCTTTTTGTAAATTTCCAGTCATAGGGAAGTGATGTGATTCGATCCTCTACACATATAATCTGTTTCCATTAATGGAACTGGTGCTGTTCACGTTTTCACTTGCACAGCATTGTTTTATATTTTGATTAACTTGGGAGGATAATCTGGAACCTATTGACGCTAATTTAACTATAGCTCAAGCCAAGTGTTTAGTGTATGTACCAATATTTGGGTGATCACTGGTGGTCTTAAGATTGCCGTTTGTTTTAATTTCAGGATCTTAAAGACATTCCAGGTGTATGTTCTATTATATTTGTGAAACAAGTTGTGAACTGTTTAACTAATAGTTTTTCATTTTCTAGATCTTTGGCGGAATCGTTAATGCTGGGAATCCAAACTTGGAGGCCACGGATCTTGCTGGAAATGAGTATCCTCTGGAAGAATGCAAGTCAATATTTTTTTTTATCTTAATATAAATATGACCAACATATGCACTTGGATCTTGATATACAGTTCTGGAGGTGCTCAAATTTTCACAATTCCTGCAACTGTCTTGGCATATGAACTTACTTCATCCCCAGTTTTTCTTGACTAATATCAGTTACTTGCTTTTCAATTTTAATGACTATCCGAATGGGATGGTGACCCTCTTTAATCTGCTGGTTATGGGAAATTGGCAAGTCTGGATGCAGGTATTGTCACTATTACGCATTTTCTGTCACCATTTTCGCAATTGTGGGTTTCGCAATTATCATCATCTTATTTACTGCGTGTACCTTATATCTAGTCCAATTACGTTTATTTACTGTGTATACCTTATATCTAGTCCAATTACGCCTTCTGTTTAATCTTTATTTCCACCCTATGAATAAGCAAATTCTGGGATAAGCTCTTTCATCTTCTGTAAATGGACTGTAGAAAGTAGAATTACCAATCTATGTTTCAGTAAATAAATTACCAAACATTGGATGCATCATGAAATGCTATCAATTAATGAATTTCAACTTAGTTGCTAAACTGAAGATTCACCTGTTAATTTTATATGGGAAAATGTATCCTATTGCTCTCAAATTCTCAGACAATGAATTCTCTGAAGTCCCTTCTATAGTCCTGTAAGTGAGGCCCTTTTTTGTCTTCAATTAGTCATATTGCCTAGTAGCAGCGTTTCTTTTAGCATCTGGCAAGTAATTGGAAATATCATGTGTAGTAATGTTTATTATTTTGGTGAACCAGAATGGGATTATAGAAAACAAGCACTAAATTCATTAACAGACATTTCCTGGGAGATGTTTGCAAGATTGAAATTTTTCGAATTGTATGTTCTTAATAAGTATTTTTTCTGTATAACTAACCATCTGTTCATTTAATTCCAGAGTTACACTGAATTGACGGGGAGCCGTTGGACTGTTGCTTATTTCATCAGCTTCTACCTAATTACTGTTCTGTTGCTCTTGAATTTGGTATGTGCTGTTTGGTACAATTCACTTTCGGGATATACAATTGTTTTCTCTTTATGCTTTGAAAATTTCATAGTAGGTAACAAATGTTAGTATCAAAGAAACAATATTTTTGTTCTCTGTTCAGCTGCATATTGTTTAATAGTCATGCTCATTATTCACCTCCTAGTGGTATTATCACGTGTGTAATTGTCAATTTCAATGGCAATTTAGGTTGTTGCTTTTGTCTTGGAGGCGTTCTTCGCTGAAATGGAACTTGAAGCATCAGAAGAGAATGATGAGGTACTTAAGCTTCTTGTTTATATGAGAAATAGAACTTGATGGTCAACATCGGCATAACCTTGATAAACGTTTTGTAACTTGCAATCCAGGAGCCCAGCACCACAAAGCCCCGTTCCCGATATTTAGGGTACACACTATTTGGTCTATTCATCTAAGAAAAAGCTGCTATCTTTGTTTATCGTTTCTGAATACGAGAACTAAGAAATCAGTTGTGGTTGTTGCAGCACTAAAACTCGAAGTCAGAGAGTTGATATACTTCTCCATCATATGTTGAGTTCAGAGCTGAGCGAAACAGCCGCCTGCTGATTGACTTGTTATATCTGTGTACTGTGGTTAGTGAATCAAACCAAACTTTTATCTGATTCATTTACCGCTGTCTTGAGGTAAAGCAGCCTGCAAATCCTCAGGATATGTTTGCAGAGCTCTGCAAGATGCTTGTATTCATTATTATACGCTTCACGTTGCATGTCGGACTGAATCTTAAGCTTTGTGGTTTGTCGTTGCAGGCCATTTTTGTGGTGTTTTTCGGCAAGACAATCAGGTTTCTGCCGCGTGCTTCCTGCTAGAAGTGCTGGTTTCAACAATTCTCTCAGTCGTTCACAGAGTACACGCACAACAAACAAGCATAGTCAGGTTTTAACCTTTTTGGAGAAGCACGAACATCAGCTGTAACGCTGCCCGTAAAGCAACCTTGCATTCGCAACTTAGAACTCCATATACATATTTGTGGTTCTGTATGATATGAGCTTGAACGTCTGTCAATTATTTAATGGGGTTAATTACATAGTTGGTCACTGAAATTACTAAAAATGTTCGGGTTTGGTCACTAAAAATATTTAATTCCGTTCGTTGTCACTAAAATTTCAAACGATTCAAGTTTGGTCACTCTTCGTTACCTGCTGTCAACCTCCGTTAGCACCGTCAGTTTTTTGCTGACGTGGCTAACAGAAGTGTCTACTCAGCTATTTTTAACAAAAAAAGAAAAAAAATTTAACCCAACCCGCCACCTCATTAAAAACCCACCATGTTAGATTGTCCTACTCAACCCATGACCCAACCTTTCTTTCTTGATCCACCCAACCTAAAAAATATTCCAATTAATAATTATACAAATTTACCAAACAAATCATCTTCACAAACCCTATTCATCCTCTCCCGTCACTCCGATTTGCCTTGCCACAAAACTGATCTCGCCGCCGTCCAATACAACGTCGGAACTGCTACGCCTAACCTTTTACTAATATCTCAATTACACTAACTTAACCCGACCCTTCAACTTCTCGCCGCCCACTCCGCCTAAACCCCCTTCCCTGCTTCATTTGATTGGGAAAATCCATCTCATTTCAATTTTTTTTCCTTTCTTGGCAATGGGGTGGGTTATATACGAAGAAGAAGAAGAAGAGGGAAGATGAGGGGAGCATTAGAAGATCAGAATCTAGAGGGAAAGAGAAAGGAATCCGGCGAGGGGAATAGAAGAAGACAAAGAGAGAGAGAGAGAGAGGAAGAACTCGAATCAGATATCAAGCATGACATAAGCAAACTTGGGGCTCGACCAAGAACTCGAATCTCACATCGACGGGCGGCAAAGAACTCAAATCTCGGTCGCCGCAAGGCATAATTGGAGGTAGAATTGGTGGCGGTCTCCTCGACTATCCTTCTCCCTCCGACTCCAGCCGCCCTTGTCCCTCTTCCTCCGCCTCCGTTGTCGAAATCATGGCAACTATTCTTCTGAACAATAGCAAGCATGGCTTGATCCACCGTCCTCAACGCTGTACAACGCTATGAAGAAGACCGACGTCCGGGACACGGTTGGATGGCAAACGTTGTCGTTGGCTGGCGTGGAGTAGTTTTTTGGGGAAGAAGACCGATGTATGTTTGCGATTTGATTTGGGATTTGAGAGAAGAGGGATTTTTTCCAGTTGGGTCAACAAGAGGAAGAAGAGGAAGGGTCAGGTCAGTGGTTGGGTTGGGTTGGTTTCTTATGTGGCTGGTTTTAATGAGGTGTTGGGCCTGATTTTACTTTGTGGGTTAAAATTAGCTTATTAGGCACTTCTGTTAGCCACGTCAGCAAAAAACTGACGGCGTTAACGGAGGTTGACGGAAGGTAACGGAGAGTGACCAAACTTGAATTGTTTGATTAATTTTAGTGACCACAAACGGAATTAAATATTTGTAGTGACCAAACCTGAACGTTTTTCGTAATTTCAGTGACCAACCATGTAATTAACCCTTATTTAATGTCTGTTGGTTTAATGAAGTCATGCGCATAACTGGAATATGGGCGTTCTATAACCTGGTTTTGGCCCTTGTGTTTTGGTCGTTGCGATAGTGAAAATGACGAGTTGGATCGGATTGCCAACCTACTGCCTAAAAAAGAAGGAAAAGGAAGAGGATTATACGTTATTGAGTGTGCAACTTGATAGTGTTGGTGGATCGGGAATAAAGAGTTGGCAGTAAAATGGTTGGACTGTGAAAAAGAAGGTTTGGAAGATTCCTGGGTTGGTAGTGGAAACAGGATTTATGCTCCTTGGTGGGTGGGTTTGCATTTCCATGAATGATTTCGGTCAGCTTAGATTGTGATGTTAATATTCCTGTGTCCATTATTAGTGGATAGTGGTTATCAGTATTACTACCCCTGTTGGTAGTAGTATAGTAGGGCTTGTGTCTTGTGAGGACATCCTAGGCATCCCACAGCCATAATAAAAGATCTTCAAGGTTGAAATAGATAATATCTACAGGAGAAAATTGAGAATCACTATCTGTGCTAATATTTTAAAAAATGGATTAAAAAGCAAAGGAGATATCATATGGTATGGAGTTGGTAACAAGAGGTATGAAATAAATTCTCAAAAAATATTTAAAATGGATCTTCTTTTGTAGAGCACGACGAACTTATTCCATTTGTGCAAAAAAAATTAAAATCCAAGTTAGAACGAAGAAGATAATAGTCTATTAAAAAACTAGGAAAAATAAAAACTTTTAATTCTCAACCCTTATATCTGCAATCCACTTAAAAGGAAGGGTCCATATTTGATTACTTAAGTTAAGCACCATAAGATTAAGATCAGGTGACTAAAGAGGGTTGCCTTAGTCACATGACTAAGTCAATCTCAGCCACACAACCTTATTTAAATCCTATGTCTATAATTCACTGAATTTAATAAAAGGCAACAAAGTAATTATTCATTTAATAATTATAGTTAAAAGAATAAAAACAAAAGAGTTGTTGACATTTTTCCTCCTATTGTGTGTTGTGGAGAAAGAGAAAGAATTGGGTGTTGCGGGGAGAGGGGCGGATCCGAAGAGGGATGATGATAGTGGTCATAAAGGAGGAGATAGAGAAGGCGGCGGCCGTGGAGTAGGAAAAGAGAGAGATGACGCCGGACATGGAAAGGGGGGGGGGGGGGGAGGGGAGAGAGAGAGAGAGAGAGAGAATGATCGTGGAGGAGGAGAGAGCGACGACAGTCATGGAGGAAGAGAGAGAGACAACATGGGCGGCTTTTTTTCGTCGGCGGTGACTTTGTCCTTCTAATTTGTTATTTTTGTCAAGCTTGTAATGTTCTATGACAAATTTTTATTCATTGTATTTTGTAATGTTTGTATGTCTAGTTTGTATACTCACTGTTATAATTTGTATACTTTGTATTTGTAGTTTTGTAATACAAGTCTCATCGGTTTGTAGTGTAAGTAGTGGTTTTTTGTAATATTTGTATACGTTTATTACATGATTTGTATAACTTTTGTAATCTTTTATGTATACTTTGTGTTGTTTGTTAGTATACATTATAATTTGTAATGTTTATTTTTCTAGTTTGTAATGTTTGTTCTTTTGGTTTGTAATGGTTGACATTATAGTTTGTAATGGTTATCAATCTTCTTCTTTTTTTCCTCGAGTAATGTCAAGACAATAGTTAGAAAGAACCACTACCCACAATCTCTCCCCAACCCACTAACAATTCACTCTACAAAATCAAAATAAGCTAACTCTAATAGAGACAGCAATAGGGCCTTAAGTGACACTCTATGAGCAACCCAGTTGACAGTCCGCGGAACCGCACTAAAATATATACAATGAGAAAAAGACTCAATTAAAATGCAACAAAATCAAAAGATGAGACCATCAATGGAATCCTTCACCACATCAAAGCTGAGCTGACGGATTGCAACTGCTGCATCGGCTGTGAGGATGACATGAGACAAACTTCTTGAAGCTGTATAATATGTTGTATAATATTTATAGGGTTTATTTGTAAACATCATAATTTGTAATGAAAAGAGAGTGACCATGTACCCAAAGCTAGGGGTGTACATGGGTCGGTTGGTTTGGGTTAAACCATGTTAATCACCCGACCCATGCACTACTGTTTGGGAATTATCAAACCCAAACCCACCCAAAAATATTTAAACCCTACGGTTTGTTTCTAATTGGGTTGGGTCGGGTTGGCGATATTTTTAAGTAAAAACCCAACTCAACATAAAATGTATAATTATTATACATCATAAAAATATTTTATAACTAATTAAAATTTCAAACTAATAAACTGAGGTGAAAGGTATCAAAATTCACAAATGTTATTCGAATTTTAATATAATGTGATTTACTTCAACATATGTCTAGTTTTTTTCACGATATTTGCTGAAATAGGCTAAAAAGGTTATAAACAAACGCATCTATAATATATTATTCTATTAAAATTGTACACAAGAAAAATGATTATGTGAATCATAACTATATTCAATTTATGTCTAAACTTTTAGTCGAAGAATGCATTAGATTAGGGAGACCATGATAGGAAAACATGGCGAAATATCTTAATTTTCTCATAAGTATGGCTATATACGACATAAATATTTTTAGATATGAACTCATACTAATAGTTGGAACACGGGTTGGGTCGGGTTCTACGGGTTGTGTAATCCAAAATCCAAACCCAACCCAAAAGAGGCGGTTTGTACAAAAGAAAACTCTCACCCAACCCAAAACCTTCGTTTTAGCGATAAATACGGGTGGGTTGGATCGGGTTATACGGGTGGGTCGGTTTGCGGGTGTGTTTGTTCACCCCTACCCAAAGCATACTAAGAGTACAAAGTATGAGTATTTACAATACAAACAGCCATCACTTGCATCACAAATCAATACATATAAAGTATACAAATTAATATTACAAAACATACAAACTATACAAATCATACTGAGATTATGTACAAAAATACTAATAATACGGACCAACAACACTTGCATTACAAATAATTGTTCTTCCCTCAAACGACAAAATACGATGTTGAGAGATCCGTTACCATCGACTCTCTCTCCACCGTTGCCGCTGCTGACTCTCTCTACTGCCGTCGTCGCCTCTCTTTCTCTCTCCATCTCCACTGTCGCTGTCTCTCTCTGCCACTGCCTCTCTCTCCTCCACCATCTTCTCTCTCTCCTCTGTTTTCCCGACGACAACGATAAGCTCTGCATTCTCTCTCTCCAAAGTTGTCGCCACCGTCGCGATCTCCTTTCCCTCTCTCCATTGTCGCTGCCGCCGTCGAGGTCTCCTTTCTCTCTCTCCATCGTCGTCGCCGCCCCCTCCCACCGTCGTCACCGTTCTCTCCCCGTCGCTGCTTTTCTCTCTCTCCCGTGGTCGGCACTGGCAGCACAGAATAGGATTGTTGGAGTGGGAAAAAAACAAATAAACTTAAATAAAATTTTCTAATTCCAGGATTGCCCCTCTTATTAATAAATTAGCCCTTTTCTAATCTATATCATTAGATTGATCTAAGAACTGAAGGGATTTAGCCAATTAACTAAGCACCCTCTTAATCACCGGATCTGAATCCTAGACCCACCCTATCCATTTGCCATCACTATCACTATGTGGACAAGTGCATATTCTATCTATCATAAGACATGTAAAAATTGTACCATTCCTTAGTGTCCCATCCAATGGGTGATATTTTGGTTATTTACCACAATTAAGGTACCAATAATGTAATTATATGTTCTTTCTTTATTCTTTCCATTTCTCTCTCTTGCCTTTATTCCCTTCCACCCACCCACCCACCAATCAATCTTCATCTCTCCTTCTCTCTCCGTGGAAGAAGAACAGAAGATAGCAGAATGAAAAGTTTCTCAAAAGAAAAAAAGGAGGAAGAAGAAGAACCAGGAGGCGGAAGGGAGGAATGAAAAACCCGCTCACCTGTGCTTTCCGTCTCTCATCGATCCAGCTCCGACGTTGTCTCTTTTCCTCTCACTATTGCAAATCTCTGAAATCGGCGATGCAGCGGCAAGCTTGCCAAAGAAGGTGGGTGTTCGACGGCTGGTCGTCTAGATCGTGAGTTTTACTCTGTTCTCAGATTATCGACGGCGACCTCATTTTTCTGCATATGCTTTCTCTCTCCGTTAATTTCTCTGAGTTTCTTTGTTCTTTGTTCCCTAAGAGAAGGGAAGGTGTGGACGACGCCGGTGCGATGTGAAGGTCGGTAATGGATGTGGTGATAGTCTCAGTGATGAGTGAGCTGTTTTTCTTTTTGAATATTTTATGTATTGGGTTTTTTTGTTTGGCTTGAATCTTGGTTGCTTATCTTTTATTTATGGGTTTTGGTATCAAACGTGATTCGTCCACCGACGCCGGCTGTTTCACAAACATGGCCTGCCGCCGATGGACAGTTATCAACGGCGAGTAAGTTATTTTTGTGTATTTATTTCCATTTTTCAGTTTTGGTAAGTTTGGATTTTTTATTTTACGTTATGGTAATCTGATCGGACCTTTTCTTTTTGGGTTTTTCGGTGAGGGCAATAGGAAGGATAATGTAGGAGCTATTGTCGGTGTAGATTTCCGAAGGCGACAAAGGCAAGCAGGGCTAGCCGTTGCTCTCTAGGTAACCTTCTTCTTTTGGGGTTTTTATTTTGTTTTGATTCTGGATGACGCCTTTCTTTGGAGTGGTACAGATTCAGCATGGCAGTGGGGTGGGGATAAAGGGAAGGTTAGCAAAACATGAGGATTGAAGTCCACATATTAATGAAATAAGCAATTTTAGAGAAAAGAGGGGCATGAATCATGGGAAATGTTTGATATAGTTAGGAATCTTCCAAGTCATCTGTTGAGTGGAGAATTTACATGGACTCGAGGGAGGGTTTGGTTTGATTGAAATCGTTGCTGCTACTCTTTTTCTGTTTATTCATGTTTATTGCAATAGTGGGTTTAGTTTTAACTGACCTTTTTACCAACCATTTGGTTTATATCACTGTGTGCACTCGTATTAGAGGATTGCTGGGAAAACTTTTTGTTGCTGTGGAGCTGCGAGCTTACAAAATAGTCAAACAAGACTAAGATGCAAGTGGTTATTCAGTGAAGGAAGTGAGGATCTCACAAACCAGGTCATCTTAGTCTTCTGAATTTCATGTTCTCAATGGTTGTTATGCTAAAATTGTACTTGCTAGAAGAAGAGAAAATTGTAAACTACCTTCCTCGATTTGGTTGGGTTCATTGGTATTCTTTCCATGAAGTTACTCATATGAGAACAAAATCCAGTAACAAGGGTCGATCTTAATTGCTCGCATGGAGAGTAGGGAAGACATGTTCATTGCATGCAAATGATGATTTCCAAGAAACCTGCAGGAAACAGCTTGGAATTGGCATGGGTTATTAGGTTTCAATCTACTTGAAATTGCTTTATTCAACCTATACATCGGTGTTTTCAATCTACGGGCATATTTTGAGTTCATGGTTTAAAACATTTTTCAGTTTTTGAATTTTGTTTTCAACCGTTTCTTGATGGTGCTTGTGGGTTTCAGATGGTGGCACCAAAAATTGTATACTGGGATTTTCACTTTTGATTTCAGTCTTCCAGTTTTTCATGTTATCTTTTGATCACACACAGTCTAATTGATGTTCTTAAGGTTGGTACTTTCATAGGTCAAGTCCCTTTTGGAAGTTCAGATGCTCGATTAATGCCATGAAACTCTCTAGCATACTCATTCCTTGCTTTGACCTCATTTTAGTTGATTTCGAGATGGTTGATAGTCTCTATGAATTTTAGGAACATTAGATGCCTGGATGTGAGTTATTGGATCCACGGTGTTTGGGAGTTTGTTGATTTCTGTACGAAAAGGGTGGACATCCTTCCGTTCGAGGTAATCTACTGGTTTGTTCAATATGAAAAGTCACTTGCCTCTTAGTCTGGTTTTTTATTGACACTTGCTTCTCTAAACTAAAAATAACCAACTCTTTCAATTTTTATATGCTCTCACTTAAGAATATCTTGTTGGGAGTAATGCTGCTATAATGTGGTGTCGTTGTTCAGCTTCTTTTGATTATTGGGATGAGTAAATACTGTGAATGGTTCTCATAAGTCCCTGGGATGCGAGGAACTGGTTGGTGCTGAACTCTTTTCTGTTCACGAATCCTTAATTGCATGTATAATAGTTCAATTACAACTTGTGGTTTGGCTATCTCAGGTTGTTTAGGAACGGTTGGCTTTGATTAATAACTAAAGTATGCAGAGATTTGAAAGGATACCATGTTGCTGGTTCTTATAGAGTTATATTCTGCCTTTTTTTTTTTTTGCAGGGGAATGGTGCAAGGGAGGTTGTCAGGGAAACAACGAAGGATTATTTCTGGTCAGGGCAAAGGTGGAGGTTAGACCTGTGAATAGGATTATTTCTGGCCAGGGCAACGAAGGATTATTTCCACGCCTTAACACGAAAATCACTGGTTTCGAATGATGGGATCTACAATTCGCTTAGAGGCTGAATCGAGAGGTAGGTGATGATTTTCATTTTCTGTTTTAAAATTATGCTCTCTGGCACGTGAGAGTTTGTTTAATCCTTCCCGTAGGAAATACATCATGTGCAGTATTACAGATTGCACTCATTAGATGACATTGTTGAATGAATGCCTGCTGAAATTTCATTCTTAACCTTCATTCTCCAATTTTTGTGTGTTTGGGTTTGTTTACCATCTCTTTTCTATTGAAGGATCCTTATTTGTCTGTATACTGAGTTTGATTACAATTGGTGGTTTAGCTATCTCTGGTTGTTTATACAGCATTGGCCAATCCACAACAGTTTGTAGAGATATTAGAGGATACCGTGTGTTGGTTCTTAACTTCTTGTATGATTATCTGATTGATTTGTTGGTTCCTTTCTCAAAATGGTTTGTTCACTTTTTCCTGAAGCTTCATTGGTGGTTTTGTATCCTTTTTTAGAACAAAGGATGTCCTGATTTTCCAAACAGCCTTCTTTGGTTTTAGTGTGTTGAGTGGAAGTCATCCAACCCTTTTTATCTACATGTAAAAAAACAGATTGGTGTTTCAAAACCAATTTCATTCTGATTAAATTGGTTTTCAAGTGTGTTGGGCTGAGGATCCCCTCCACAGTAGAATTTTTTTTCTTCTTACCTCAGGTGGAATATCACTATGAATACTTGAGGTTCGTTCCTTCTTTTAACTTCTACTTTTATTCCTTTTACATTTTTTTTGTTTCCTAATGTGGTCTCGGTTCTTTGTTTTTCCTTTTTTGCAGTGTTTTGCAGTACCAATAGGGAATGACCTGCAGATGCAGTCGAGAGGACGAGAGCTAAATATTGTTGTTCTAAGATGAGGAAGAGAAGGTAATGTTAAAGCCTGGTCTCTATTTTCCTATAGCGGATTCAATTTAGTCCATGTCTCCATCTCCTTCCTGATCATTTCCCTGCTTTCTATGCATTCCTTCCTTAAACCTGGAGATACAAAATATTGTCATTGCTTGTGTCAGTATTTTTGGATCTCAAATGTCATCCTCAGTAGAACACCAATTTATACGAGCTTATGGAGAGAGGTTTATCAGTTAGTTCCCGCTATTAACTTCAATTATTGTTCCTAGGATTGAGTTATGTTTCTCTCAATGTACGTTTTTGCAAACTTAAGATAATGGTTGAAGCTAATCACAATGTCCAGTGACTCCCATAATGTGTTCAGTATGCTCTGTGAACTTCTTCATTTTGCTCATAGCTTCTCATTCTTACTCTACTTTCTTTGTGCAGTGGCTTCTCTTCTCTGTTATTGATTCATGTCGCTTCATGGTTAGCTTTCTTCTCATGGAGATCAGCTTTCGTGGTCCCTGCTTGCTTGCTTATGCTTTAATTTGTACGCTTTGTTATCATTTATTTAACAACCTCCCATTGCCTATGTGGTAAGGGCAAGACCGCTGCATCTTCTCTTGCTTCATCATATTAAACCAGCTCGGTCTCAAACTTTTGTTCCTACAAACCCAGTTTTGAGACGTCTTATGTGTTATGTTTGGGGTCAGGGATACAGTTGGAGCAGGGTGCCAGGTTCGTTAATTGCATTGTGGAATCATCAGCGGTAGATTTCGACTACGAGCAAGTGAGCAGGTTAGGGTGTCTTCCAGGAAGTCTTTGCTCAATTTGCCTTCCAACTTCCTTTCCATGATGCCTTTCTCATCTGAATCCTTATATTAGTAAAACTAAAATAGATAGAATTGTGGCACCACTGTTGTCATGGATTTGCTAACTTGAACGCACCTTTCTTTACTTTCTCAAATTTTTAAATTGACCAGTTTATAACTTTCTCTATTGTGATCTCATGTAGACTTTGTGGTTGTCATATTCTTATCATAATAGAATATGTTTATGTTTTCATGATGTGAAATGATTTGAATGATCAAGCTACCATATGAAGAAAAAAATCTACTATATCTGCTAGATAATAAGTTAAGTTTGATCAATGGTAAGTGGCTGATTGCCTGCTATAAAATCCTGAAAAGTTGTGGACTTGGTAAATGATTCATATGTTCAATTGTATTCAATTTATTGTTTTCATGTTCCTTATGATTTATAGAGGTGGCCTGAAAATGCTATGTTTTCAAAATGATTCATTTTCCTTTCCTTTACCTTGGACTCTGCTGGTGTGTCTTTTCGGAATTTCAATTAGATAGGTGATTCTTTCTAATTCATCAATCTCACTCCCCTTTCGCAGCCTGCTCCATGGGACTTGCAAGGCTCTTTTACATACTATATTGTTGACCTTCAACGATTTCAACTTACTCATCATTCTGTCAAGTAGATATGATTTAACTTCATGATTTGTTAGCAACAGCATGCTGCGATACCTCAGATGTAATTTTGTACTGTCCTTTGTATGTTGTATTTTGTCTCCTTTTTGTTGGTGTTCGCTAGGTATAGTAAGTTCCTTTGTGTTTGATATAGCCATCCATCTCTTGAACTGTATGACATGTTTTTCCAACTACCTGTTTGCTTTGTTGGAGGCAAACAAAATGTCACGCTGCCCTTTAGATGATATCAGCTTGGTTAGTTTGCTTTGCAACAAAATAAACTTAATTGTAAGTGTCATGGTTAGCAGAGAAAAGCATGCTGGATTCAAGCCATATCTTAATGGCATATATTAACAACTTTTAAGGGTTTGGGATTTTGTCTTATGTGCTGGTGTCGCCTGACTTCACACCATTTCTCATTCCTTTTATGTTCTGACCTGCATATTCGTCCATCTCTTAGTACTTTCTCTCATGCCAATTGATTGTGTGCCTTATGTCATGTTATTTTTCAGGTTGCGCGATTATAGAACGCCTTGCAGCAACAGTTTCATCACAAAATATCTTAGACCAGATTTGTTAGCATGACCAAGATCGTGTTTGGTTTTTTTGTGTGCTTTCTGGGTTGTTTGGTTTGATTTCTTTTGATATTTTTGTATAGGCTATGTCTTTGTTCAACTATTTTTCGGGATTTTGTTAGCTCAATAATCTAATTGACTTCTTCGTTCCTCTATGTTCGGGTTTCCACCAATTTGGGTTGTATTAAGTTTTGATCTCCTTTTCTCTCTCAATTGGTATTAGTCTATTCACAATTTAGATTATAGCATTGCAGTAACTGGCCGCCCTCATTAGAAAATAATTGTGTACGATACACAATTGCCTTCAGCATTCAAAAGTTGTTAATGTAGGCATAATCTCTTTTGTAATTTTGCTAATGTTATCGTTCACAACATTGATTGACAGATTACCGATTAAATAATTATCCCAATAATTTTGAGTCCCGCCGCGCAGCGCGGGCATTCCGTCCTAGTAAAGTTGAAAGGCCATAGAAATAGAGAGCGGATCCCATGACTAAGGGGGGGGTCCTTAGTCACTTGACTAAGCCCCTCCTAGCCATTAGATCTGGACACTTCAATCTAATGGTTAAAAAGTGGGAAGGGCTATTTAATTAATGACAGGGGTAGTTTGGGTATTATGGAAAATTACAAAGTACACAAACTGGATTTACAATCAGTACAAACCATACAAACATACGAACAGTACAAACTAGAGCGACAAAACATACAAACATTACAAACGTATGAACTGTACAAACAATACAAACTAGACCGACAAACAATACAAACCATACAAAAAAAAACACCCGGGTTGACTTTGGAGGCTCCATCCCTATATAGAGGGGCTCCTTCCCAAAGTCAACCCGGGTGTTTTTTAGACATACAAACAGTACGAACATGGTGGACAAAAATGACAAACTATACCGACAATCCATACGAACTGAAAAAACACCCGGGTTGACTTTGGAGGCTCCATCCCTATATAGAGGGGCTCCTTCCCAAAGTCAACCCGGGTGTTTTTTATACATACAAACAGTACGAACATGGTGGACAAAAATGACAAACAATCCATACGAACTGAAAAAACACTCGGGTTGACTTTGGAGGCTCCATCCCTATATAGAGGGGCTCCTTCCCAAAGTCAACCCGGGTGTTTTTTAGACATAAAAAACATTACAAACATGGTGGACAAAAATGATAAACACGATACACAAAAATAACAAAGTTTACAAACATTACAAAAAAACCGACAAACATTACAAAATAACAAAGCGTACAAAATAACAAAGCGTACAAACATTACAAAATAAACCGACAAACAATACAAAGCATACTAACAATACAAAATCTCTCTCTCTCTCTCTCTCTGGGGAATGTAATAATGGTGCCCAGGAGGAAAAATGGCGCCCCTCTCTCTGGAATAATAATGGCGCCCATGAGGCCATGACCCAGGAATTACCCTGGTCGGAGACGGAGGCGACCGACGCAAAGGGAGGGGACGGACACGGGCTGGATTCATTTTTTTATTCCTTTTATAATTAAAAGTTAAAAATAAACATGCAATTACTATATTGTCCTTCATTAAATTGAATTAATATGGGCCATTGGATTTTAATGAGGTTCAAGAGTGGAAATTGACTTAGTCATGTGACTAAGGGACCCCCTTAGTAAAGTTGAAAGGCCATAGAAATACAAAAAATAGTCAACAGTGGCGTGGCATCATCATCCGCTCCACCATATCCATGCGGATGCAAATGCCAAGTAAAGCAATTATGATATCTGTGACCCACGACACGTGACCTAATATCATCACACCCACATTCCAATGGAACACAACGACGTACGAAAGAAAGAAAGAAAGAAACCAAACAAAAAGCTAGAAGATGCATATCTGATCTCTTGTATTCTTCCACTGCGCAAAAGGGCGGCCTTCCGATCCCCTCTGCAGCTTTGTTGTATAGCATAGCATATGTTGACAGGCAGGCCCATATATATGTTCCTTATGACGACAGCTGCTAGCTAGAGATGGAGATAGAATTAGTTCCTTTTCATTTGCAGAATGGAGAGAATTGCGGAAGATCTTTCTTCTCTACATTGTTTCTCTCTCATTTTAATAATATCACCAACTTGTCTGATTGCCCACATTCCAAGTCTTAGCACTCCTCCCTCTATATATATAAGGCCCACTCAGTCTCCCATCTCATTTCCCATTCATCACTCCAAACCGAAGAGAGATGCAGAGCTTGAAAGGAGAAGTGGAGCTGAACATTGGAGCCCAGAGAGCATGGGAGATGTACAGAGACAACGACGTCATCAGCAACATCAACCCTCAGATGCTTTCCCTTGCCAAGTACATCCAAGGCGACGGCAGCCCAGGCAGCCTCAGGCTCTTCCAGCTCGGACCTGGTAATTCCATTTTCATTCATTCAATTTGTTAGCTCAAAACCAATTCCTCTGCCTCTTCAAACTGCTCCTTGTGCTGTGCAGCTGTGGAGAGCTACGTGAAGGAATCGACGGAGAAGATAGAGAAGGTGGAACCCGGCCGCTCCGTGACGTACAGGGTCATCGGCGGCGACCTGAGGGACAAGTACGATCCATACAGGGTCACCTTCTCCTTCATCCCTCTCAAAGGACACGAGTCCCACAAATGCATTGCTGAGTGGAAGGTCGAGTTCGAGCCACTCTCACCTTCAACCCCTCCCCCGGAACAGGCCAGAGATGCGGCGCTGGGCTTCCTCAGGTCATTTGACAAGTTTGAACTCTCCTCCTACTAGCACCACCACCACCTACTGTCTTTCTGTTTGTCTGTCAAGCAACATGGCCTCACAGACATCCTCAAATAAACAATAATCTTCTGTATCGGGTGTTGTAATTATCAAGAATTGTTGTTGTGGTGGTGATGGTGGTAAATGAAATAACTTGCTGCTCTTCTTTGCCTCTCTTCTAATGATCAGCAGTCAGAACTGAATCCTGAACAAAGAACAATCCAAGAGATAAAGCCACAACCAGAAATTCGTCGTTTTAACAAAGGAAATAGAGGGATATTACCCCTGAAGCTGGCCTGCTATTATCATTCGATTCTTGAAATCGTACTTATGATTTCCTTTACAATCCTACCACCTAGATCAACCAAAATCAGTCTCTGGGGTTCACAAAAGAGACTAGACAAGGAAAAAGCTAATGAACAATGGCACAACTCCAAGAGGACATGGACTTTTTTCTCAAGGCACCACTCTACCCACCTGAAACTAAGTCCACATTTCCCCTCACCTACCCTTTTCTTCTGTACTGCAAATCCCTCCCTACCCACACTCTAAACAAAGCTCCTCACTTTATCTGTCAATCACTCACTCGAAACTGCTCACAGTCGATGTTCCCAAATCTCGAAAAGTTGGTAATGAGAACGTTGATGAACTTCTTTACTTGTGCCTTGAAATTGGCCGAGGCGACCTTATCTGCATGACTAAGATCTGCCACCCCGTCTTTGATAGTAATCGTACCTGGTGCATTGCCTTCTGCATAAGCTCTGCATGCTATCAGAATGTTATGCGCACGCTGCTGGAAATGCCCCTTCACAAGCTCTTCAAAGTACTGCAAATCCAAAACAAAACCACAAAAAATGAAAGAAAAAAATATTAGCCCCATTTGGGTAGATCTCTTTTTTCAGGAATAAGGTTTGTGCATCAGTCCGGCCTTTATTTTTAGGAGGATCTATGGAATCCCATCCGAACCAACTCTATTAGGTCCTGTTCAGTTCAATCCCAGTGTCAGTTTGATCTTGTGTGAACCGAATTGTTGCACATCTTATTCAGCAATGAGAAACAGGAAAAGGCCGAAATTATCACATTACCCTGGGTGGCCTTCTTAGGATGTACATCACTGTCTTGAGCGACAAAATAAACACATTTTCATTGTACTCCCTGGACTGTTTCACTCCTCTTTCTCCAGTGTAGCTGTGAGCGGCACGGCCTAGGCAGAGGGAAGGGGTAGTTGGGTCATTGTTAGTTATTGGGGGAGTTCTCTATTTAAACACTAGTTGTGCACTATTTACGTATGAATAATAATATCAGAATTATCAAATCCATAATCCCTCTTCTATTCCCAATTCTTAACCCTAAATTCCCAATTCTCAACCCTAATTCTTCTAATTCTCATCCCAATTTCTGGCTGTGTTCCTCACAATTGGTATCAGAGCTGTGTTCGACATGAGTTCTACAGAGAATTCTTGCGGGGACCGGGGCAAATCGACCACCGATCGCTTGCGGGTGGTGTTGGCGCGGCTGGCGCGCGCGGAGGAGGAGTTGCGGGTGGCGATAGGGGTGGCGCGGGCGATGTCCGAGGGTCGCATACCCTTAATCGCGGCCGCGACGACAAGGGCAGAGGCGAGGGAGGCGGCGGTCGCGGCAGGGGAGCTGGAGAGCGCCTGCGAGCCGGTCGCCGAAGCAGTCGAGAGCCGAGAGGCTCGGGTCGCGCGTGAGGAGAAGAAGAAGGAGGAGGAAGCGCCGAGCGCGCGGAGGGAGAAGAAGGGCGGTGCAGGTGAGACGATCTCGGCTGTCGCGGCGGTCGAGACGGCGGGATCGTCGACGATGAGGTTTCACGCACAGGTCATGGGGGAAAGGGGGGTGGCCCTCGTCGACAGTGGGGACTCTCTCAATTTCGTCAGTACCGAGTTTGTGAAACGCCGAGTTTGTGGAGGTGGCTAATGGAGCTCCATTGAGGTGTGCAGAGAAGCTAGTTGGGGTTCCCGTGGTGATCCAAGGGCTGTTAATCCCTCTCGACCTATATGTATTGTCATTGCATGGGTTCGACCTGATCCTAGGCATGCCATGGCTCAAGAGTCTGGGACCAGTGACGAGTGACTGAGAGGAGATGGTGATGAAGTTCAAGTGGAGAGATAAGGATTGGGAGTTGCGGGGAATGACGACAGCGACCGGACCCATCGAGTGGGGTGATCCGCAGCTCGAGGAGGACTTGGAGCTGGCCATCCTATGCTGGCCGATGGAGCGCGCTGAGGGCCAGGCTCGAGCACCGGACTTGCAGGCACTGTTGGACCAATACGCTGGTCTATTTGCTCAGCCTACCCAGCTGCCCCCGCAACGGCAGGTTGATCACCGGATTAGACTCAAGGGAGGCACCGAGGCGGTTAACGTTAGACCGTGCCGGTATGCACACGCTCAGAAGGAGGAGGTGGAGCGCCAGGTGGCTGAGATGATGACCGCGGGGTTGATTCAGGCAAGCTCCAGCTCGTTTTCGTCCCCGGTGCTGCTGGTCAAGAAGAAGGATGGCACTTGGAGGTTCTGTACCGACTATAGGGCCCTCAATGCAGTGACGGTTCGAGATCGGTTCCCGATCCCGACTGTGGATGACATGCTGGATGAGTTGTGAGGGGCGAGATACTTCACGAAGCTCGACCTACGAGCTGGTTATCATCAGATACGCATGCACGAGGAGGATATCCCGAAGACTGCATTCCGGACGCACAGTGGTCATTACGAGTATCTCGTGATGCCTTTCGGGCTCTGCAATGCGCCCTCGACATTCCAGGCAGCCATGAATGGCATTTTCCGGCCTCTCCTACGCAGGTCAGTGCTGGTATTCTTTGATGATATTCTGGTTTTCAGCAAATCGTGGGATGAGCACCTGCAGCAGCTGCAGGAGGTGTTCAAAATATTGCAGGAGAATCAGTTTTTTGTGAAGGAATCCAAATGTGCGTTTCGAGTACAGGAGGTGGACTATCTGGGACATGTGATATCAGGCGAGGGAGTTCGAGTGGACCCGCGGAAAATTCAGTCATTGATGGATTGGCCAGTACCGAGGAGTGCGACGGCCTTGAGGGGTTTCCTGGGCTTGACCGGGTATTATCGGCATTTTGTACAGGGTTACAGCTCGATAGCCGGACCATTGAACGCACTATTGAAGAAAGGAGGGTTCAGTTGGAACCCTGAGGCCGAGAGTGCTTTTGAGGCGCTCAAGGTGGCCCTGTCCACGACCCCAGTCTTGGCATTACCAGATTTTTCCCAGCCATTCGACATCGAGACAGACGCGTCGGGCAGGGGAATTGGTGCGGTACTGTCACAGGAAAAGCATCCCATTGCTTTTATGAGTCGGACCCTCCCTCCCTCCAAGGAGGCTTGGTCAACCTACAAGAAGGAGATGCATGCGATCACAGAAGCTGTACAGATGTGGCGCCCTTATCTGATTGGCCAGAAGATTCGTATCTACACCGACCATCAGAGTTTGAAGCATTTGATGGATCAGCGGGTGTCCACTCCAGACCAGCATAAATGGGTGGTGAAGCTGATGGGGTATGACTATGAGCTCCATTATCGGCCGGGTCCGATGAATAAAGCAGCAGATGCTTTGTCGCGAGTGGAGCTTGAGCCGCAGGTGGCAGCAGTGACTGGACCAGTGGTGCAGTTTTGGGACGAGGTCAGGAAGGCGGTAGAGACTATCCCATACCTGAGAGAGAAGCGCGACATTGCTGTGAGTGTGAACCCTGGGGATTACTCCTTCCGCCATGGACTAGTATACTTTAAAGGGCGGGTGGTCCTTCCGGCGGCCACCTCTCTGACAGCGACAGTGATGAAGGAGTTCCATGACTCACCAGTTGGGGGACATTCAGGGCACGAGAGGACGCTGAGAAAGATTCGCAGTCAGTTTTACTGGCCGCAGATGAGCCGCGAGGTACAGGAGTATGTGGCCTCCTGCGATACTTGCCAGAGGGTCAAGGCTTCCTTGCTTCGACCTGCAGGCTTGCTGCAACCGTTACCTGTACCGGAGCGGGTTTGGGAGGATATTAGCATGGATTTCATAGTATGGCTACCGCCATCCGGAGGGAAGACCGTTTTATTTGTGGTGGTAGACCGGCTCACGAAGTATGCGCACTTCATGGCGTTAGCACACCCGTATACGGCCAGGAGTGTAGCCGAGCAGTTCGTTTGGGGAGTGATTAGGCATCACGGCTTCCCCCGGTCGATCATGAGTGATCGGGATGCACTTTTCTTGGGCAGGTTCTGGCAGGAGGTGTTTTCGATGGCAAAGACAGAGTTGAAGATGAGCTCGGCCTATCACCCGCAGACGGACGGACAGACGGAGGCCGTTAATAAGGTACTCGAGCAGTATCTACGCTGTTTTGCACACCAGCAGCCGCGTCGGTGGCTAGCTATGCTACCCTGGGCTGAGTTGTGGTATAACACCACCTATCATCGGTCGATCCAGATGTCCCCGTTTGAGGCTTTATACGGGCGTACACCACCTTTGCTGGTACGGTACCAGTCCGGAGCGAGTGCGGTGGATGCAGTAGACAGGTGGTTGGCCGAGCGAGACACGGCCCTCGAGCAACTGAAGGCCAACTTGGCCGCGTCCAACAATCGGATGAAGCAGCAGGCCGATTTGGGACGCTGGGATGAGGAGTTCGCGATGGGGGACTGGGTGCTACTCAGATTACATCCATACAGGCAGACTTCGGTGTTCCGCCGTGCATACCAGAAGCTTGCAGCTCGCTATTTTGGGCCCTATCAGGTGCTCGAGCGGATTGGGGCAGTGGCCTACCGCCTGCAGCTTCCGGCGACCGCTCGGATTCATTCCACATTTCATGTGTCTCTCCTGCGCAGGTACCGGGGAGCTGACCAGCCGGCAACACCGCCGGAGCCGCCCGTCGATGGAGAAGGATGTCTGGAGCTCGAGCCAGAGAGGGTACTCGATGTCCGTTGGGTGAAGCAAGGACGGAGGCGCGTGCCAGAGAGCCTCATCCAGTGGAAGCACCTTGGGCCGGAAGAGGCAACCTGGGAAGATACTGAGACCATTCGTCAGAACTACCCTACATTCGATCTTGAGGACAAGCTCGGTTCCGAAGGGGAAGGGAGTGTGAGCAGCACGGCCTAGGCAGAGGGAAGGGGTAGTTGGGTCATTGTTAGTTATTGGGGGAGTTCTCTATTTAAACACTAGCTGTGCACTATTTACGTATGAATAATAATATCTGAATTATCAAATCCCTAATCCCTCTTCTATTCCCAATTCTCAACCCTAAATTCCCAATTCTCAACCCTAATTCTTCTAATTCTCATCCCAATTTCTGGCTGTGTTCCTCACAGTAGCTTGACTCATATCTCGGCTCATTAAAGAAGGGTCTTGCATTCAGAATCAGAGCTTCTATGGACACCAAAACTTGAAGCATGGTAGATCTTCCTGGTATCCATTCCTCATTTCGGTCCCCAGACCAAGTCCCCAATAGACTCAGGCAGACTTTCCCACATTCATACAAGTTTGGGTTCAGGCGGAGTCCACCAGAGTAGTAATATACCATCTAAGACAGAGGGTAAACAAAATTAATACTTCTGCAGCGGAACACCATTTTTTATGTATCTTTAACCCTTACATAGTAAGAGGGGGGAAAATACATACAGGTGGAGCATGTGGATAGTTTGATGGGAAAATGCATTCGAAGACATAGAGGCCATCGTGGTAGGGAGTACCAGCCGGTCCTATAATGACAGCTCTCAAAAGCTCCATTCTTGATTCATAAACTCTGACAAAGATAGTCTCTGAGAAAGATGAACACAGTCTTAAGAAAAAGAAGAAAAAAAAAAACCAAAGAGACCAACAACCATTGACATAAAAGACTTAGTATTTTTACCAAAAAAGAATTAGTATGAGCAAGCTCACCAGGTAAGTCGTTTTCAAGAATCTTCCATTCCTCCTGGATTTTCGTGCCCAATTTTTGGCCGGCACCGCCTGCAACTCAAGCACCTCACAACATTAGTCCTGAGATAATTAGAGAGGGCCATCACAATTCAACGGACAGGGCAAGTTAGAACACCCAAATTCGTAATACAACTCAATAGAGAAAGCTATTAGATGATAACGACTAACCTGGTCTCCAGAGCGAGCATAGTGATGATCCGAGAAATCTTCAACCGTATCAAATGTTTTAAAGTTCTTGAGCTTTTCCATGATATTTTCTGCATCCCAGTGACCAGCCTGAGAGGCACAATTGGATCATACAGAAACTGAGACCCAAGATACAAGTAAGAACCCTTACACTAGAGCAGCGCATTATGTCCATGATAGTGAATCAACAAAAGAAAGAGAACTTAAAAACAGCCGCATCCCCAAAACAAAAGGGTAGAAACGTGGGAATTCAAAACAATTTACTCTTATTTTGCTTCTGCAGACTTCCTCTTTTGATAAAGGAGAGAAATTGTCAGAAAACGCAAAAAAACCTCAATTCTGCGAAACCAAACAACAACATTTTGACGCCCAATTCTACACAAAACCCCTCCAAAACCCGACAGGAAAAGAGATGCATTCTAGCCCTAAGGAAAAAGGAAGACGAAGCAAATCAGACTATCTAACTTCACACTACTTCTACACTATGCTATTCACATATTCCTCTGAGACTGCAATCTCAACTTGAGAAAAACCCCTCTGAGCAGACGCAGCAACCCCTGCAGCTTCAGCAGAAGTTGATTTTCCAGCAGCACCTCCCTAGCCATAGCTCTTCTACACCTTTCTCGCCAGAGTTCAGCTACCACCATCACCCAGAGAAGTCTACCTCGATCCGATGAGGGTCCCTGCAACCGAAAGAGAGACATGGCAACTGCCAAAGATCCCTCCCAATTTGCTCTTGCCAGATTGTCCTGCAAACACAGCCTTCAAAACATATTGAGAATAAGAACACTCGAAGAAAAGGTGATCCCTTGACTCTGCCATGGTGGTGCATAATGGGCAAGTGTTGATCACTGAGCTGTTCCATTTCTGAATCTTATCAAGAGTAGATATTCTGTTTAAAGCAATCAACCAAGACTATCAGTTTATCTCTAGGGGTTCCAAATGACTTCCAAATTAGAGTATACCACTGAACAATCTCATGCTTAATCCGAAGTGTCTCCCAAACCTTTTTTACTGAAAACTTGATCATTTCATGATCATTCCAGTAGACTCTGCCAGACCTGACTGTAAGATGCTGAGCCACTCTAGTTCTGATCTTCAGAACCTTCCTCCAGGCCCAAGAGCAGGGAATAGAGTCAGGATCCTCCCAGATGGTAGTGTAAGAGGCTTGATAGTGCCTGACCCAGTTGGCCCACAGAGAAGAGGAGTTTGAAGATATAGCCCAGAGATGCCTGACCAAGCATGCCATATTCCAGCTCCTTAGATCTTTAAACCCTAAACCCCCTCTTTTTTTGGCCTAGCTACCATCTGCCATAGAACTTTTGCTCTTTTCCCCTCCTCTTCAGAACTCCACAAGAAATCAGAACAACCTTTCTCTATCATTTTTATCACTTTGACTGGGAGCTGAATGATCCCCATCCAATACTGGGTGATGCTTGAGATAACTGCTGATATGAGCTGCAATTTACCAGCATATGACAGAGTCCTCACCTTCCAGCCCCTTATTCTAGCAGTAATCTTATCTACTAGAGCCAGACAATCCACATTATTCAGCTTCCCTGCGATGAGAGGAATCCCTAAATATCTCACAGGAAGGTGCCCTATGGCAAACCCAGTTCTGGAAGAGATCTGAGCCTGAACACTAGGGTCCCCCCCCCCCCCCCACAGAATACCTCTCTTTGCAGGATTACATTTCAGCCCAGACACAGTGTAGAATGTTTCCAAAATAGCTTTTGCTTGCCCAACAGCCTCTGATGTCCCCTTTGTGAAGACCAGTAGGTCATCAGCAAAACATAAATGGGAGAGACCTATTCTATGGGTTTGAGGGTGGGGAGGAAGAGACTTAATGGCATAAGCTCTATTGAACATACAGGAGAGAACCTCCATTGCAATTACAAACAGGTAGGGGGACAGGGGGTCCCCCTGCCTCAATCCCTTTTGAGCAGCAAAGTTTCCACAGAGACCACCATTAAAACACACACTCAGCTTTGTACTTTGCAGACAAACATCAATCCATTTAATAAACTGATCAGGTATTTTCATTGCCTCCATTACTTTTCTTAAGTAACCCCAGTCTACACTATCAAATGCTTTCATCACATCAACCTTTAGTGCACATCTAGGAGATATGGCCTTCCTATTATACAACCTCACCATCTCATGAGCCAGAAGGACATTGTCACTTATTAATCTCCCCTTAATAAAAGCAGATTGATTCTGACTAATTACTATAGGAAGCACTTCTCTCAATCTATTGGCAAGGACTTTAGCAATGCTTTTGTACAAAATGTTGCAACAAGAAATTGGTCTGAATTGTTTCATGCAATCTGCATTCTGAACCTTAGGAATAAGAGCCAGATAAGCGGAATTTACCTCAGCAAGGAGCTTCCCTGTCCTGAAGAAGTCCAAAACTGCATCTGTGAGATCCTTGCCCAAAATCCCCCAGTTATGTTGAAAAAATCCAGCTGTGAAGCCATCTGGACCTGGAGATTTATCTCCATTCATAGAAAAAAGAGCAGCTCTGACTTCTTCTCGAGATACTTGAGAGCAGAGAGGGTCAGCCTGTGCAGAAGTGAGAGAGTGGACTAGAAGTTGTGATATTAGTACACTACTCACTCTCTGAACATCAGGATTTTTGGTCCCCAACAGTGTTTGGTAGAATCTGACAGCTTCCTCACTCATTTCCCTAGTTATGGAAGAATGAGGTGTTCAAATCACCTGTTTTAACCCAAAGAAGACGAGATTTTTGCCTGTAGATAGCCTCTTCCTCTTTAAGGAGCTCATAAAGTCTCAGTTGACACTCATTAACTCTTTGAAAAGACTCTGGGGAAGGCTGCTGGAGTGCCTCAATCTGCAAACCCTCCACTTCACAACGAGTAAGTCGAACTCTCTCTGAAATTTCTGAATAGGAAGATCTATTTAGCTTCTTCAGCTACCTCTTGACCTCCCTCAACTTCTGACAAACTATGAACATGAGAGTACCCCTAAAACTTCCACCCCAGGCTTCTTTGATTATTTGGTTATACTGAGGGTGAGTTTCCCAACAGTTGAAATACTTGAATGGTTTTGGTAGGGAGGTGGCTTGAATATCAGTATTCACAAGTAAACCACAATGGTCTGACAATCTTGGGGGGAGGAGGGTTACTTCAAAATTTGGAAATTGAACTAACCAGCTAGAGTTCATGAGGACCATGTCAATCCTTCTCGCAATAGGATTTCCCTCCAGCTTGTTTGTCCAGGAGAACCAAGGACCTTCAAAGGCACTTTCATCTAACTCCATGCTAACAATCCAATTATCAAAATCTGTCATACCTTGTGAGCTAGCTGGTTGGTTGGAGGCTTCATTGGTGTTCCTTATGGCATTAAAATCACCTAACACTGTCCAAGGGAAAGTGTCAGGCTTAAGTACAGGGGACTGAAATAGGGAACGCCTGCCACTCTCATCATTTAATCCATACACAAAGGTGATCTTAATAGGTTGTTCACCCCTGACCTCACCATGAATGAACTGCTCTGACTTTTCTAGCACAACAAAATCCAACTCCCTCTTCCAGAAAATCCATACCCTTCCTAATGCTAAATGCTCATAATTGTTTGCAAACTCCCATCTACTAAATTTCGAGTCCACAATCTCTTTGGACATACCTTCCTTCACCCTAGTTTCTAGTACCCCAAAGACATCTACATTTTCCCTACTTACTACTTCCAAAACCTGATTCTGCTTGTCGGGGTTAAATCCCCTAATGTTCCAAGCTAGAACCTTCATTTCTTCTGTTTAGGTTTTGCAGGCCTGCCTGGCCCCTTCTTACCTTGTTTTTCTTTCCCCTTACCCCCACCCTCCAGAATAGGAAATTCCTCCAAGTTTTGGAGAACCGGACTGCTTACCAAAATGTTACCAACCTCAAACGAATCCACAGCAGCCAAACTTTGGAACCTATTGGCCACAGGCGTGCTAGTTCTATCTTCAGCAGAGAAATACTGATGTCCTAACATGGCTGACTGGAGCTCACCCTCTGTAGGTAACACCACAGCTGACTTCTGCCATTCATTTAGGACCCCCTGCTCACCCTTTGTTTTGTTTGTTTGATTGGGTCTATTTTGTCAGATTTGGTCTTCTTTGTACTCGGTTCTTGGGTTCCAGTTAGAGGGGGTTTACTATGAACTCCCTCTTTCTTGATGAATAAAAAGCAGCTTATTCATAAATAAAAAAAGGAAGACGAAGAATAGAATACCCTTTGTGATATATAAAAAAAATGAATTCTCCAAAATAAACCCTCCGATCATCGTGCAAAGACAACCCTTTCGATCATGCAACCTCTAGGGAACCCCAAAATCCCCGACTCACAAAGAATTGGAAGGTGATCACTGACTTACGTCGTTCTGTTTGAGTTTCTTATTGGTTGAACCCAGCGGAGCCACCGCCGTGTCGAGATCCATCGCCGCCCAGTTAGTCATTCCACTCGCGCCTCAGAATTCTACAGAGAAAAGGTAGATTAAAAAAGGAGCGAGTCAGTAAGTTAGCTGGGTCCGCCCTGAGGAATAAAAAATCACGAGGAAATCTCGAGGGAGGAAAGAAAGAGAAGTAAAAACCGTAATTCGGAACAACTACATTGACAGGGAAAAAGGAGCGCGATGTAACAACTTGGCAGCCAGCTAGCTTGATGACGTAGCACTGGAGACCAGTATAAATAGAGAGAAAGACCGTAGAAAAGAATATTCATTGATCAACTATTCTGTTAAAAGCTACTTTACCAATTCTTAGTTTACAGTAATAAAACAATTCTCTCTTCGTCTCTTTCCTATCTCTTCTTCCTCCCCGACTCACAAAGAATTGGAAGGTGATCGCAGACTTACGTCGTTCTGTTTGAGTTTCTTATTGGTTGAACCCAGCAGAGCCACCGCCGTGTCGAGATCCATCGCCGCCCAGTTAGTCATTCCTCTCGCGCCTCAGAATTCTACAGAGAAAAGGTAGATTAAAAAAAGGAGCGAGTCAGTAAGTTAGCTGGGTCCGCCCTGAGGAATAAAAAATTACGAGGAAATCTCGAGGGAGGAAAGAAAGAGAAGTAAAAACCGTAATTCGGAACAACTACATTGGCAGGGAAAAAGGAGCGCGATGTAACAACTTGGCAGCCAGCTGGCTTGATGACGTAGCACTGGAGACCAGTATAAATAGAGAGAGAGACTGTAGAAAAGAATATTCATTGATCAACTATTCTGTTAAAAGCTACTTTACCCATTCTTAGTTTACAGTAATAAAACAATTCTCTCTTCGTCTCTTTCCTATCTCTTCTTCCTCCCGAAATCTCCCAAATTCGCCAGAGAAATCCTACACAATCCTTACAAAGTGGTATCACGAGCCTTCTCTCTGGCCATGGCGACACACACTTCTCGTATTGTTGATTTAGAGACGCAGATGGCGGAGGTTCGGGTTCAGATCAACACTCAGCATCAGGAGCTGAAGGATGCTATAGCGGCGCTGGCTGCTTCTACGAAAGATAACATTGACCCGTTGGCGGTTTCCATCGCTCGCCGGGAAAAGTAGCATGTTCGTTGTCCGCCGTGAGCTGAAGTCGGTCAGATTCCCGAGCCTCACTTCTTCAGACAACAACGACGTTCGACGATTCTCGATCATCATCCTCGCCTCGAGTTTTCTCACTTTTTCGGCACCGATCCGCATGCTTGGGTTAGTCGATGCGCCAAGTTGTTTCAGCTCTATTCCATTCCAGAAGATCAGAAGGTCGACCTAGTTTCCTATAACCTGGAGGGCCGAGCTTTCACTTGGTTTGAAGGCTGGTCTTACAGACGCTTTCCGTTGATTTGGGGGCACTTCGTCAACGAGTTATTTCGCAGATTTGATAAGCACGAGCAGACAAATGTGGTGGCGTCTTTCAATCATCTTCGTCAGTGATGACTTGATATGTACACATGTTTTTGTCCACCTTTCTTACACCGTTTGAGTCTTATTTCTCGTGTTTTAGGCCGATTTCATGCTAGGTTGTTCTTGTTTGTGATATTTCAGGTCCTAGTACGTGAATGAAGGTTTAGGAACGAGTTCGGGGTCGAGTGGACGAAGATTGGGCATTTGGCGAGAAGCTGAGGAAGCCACATGGGCACGCCTAAAAACCCACACAGCCGTGTGACCTGGCGTGTGACATCAAATTGCACGGGCAAGCCACACTGGTCGTGTAGGGGACCCCTTATGGCCGTGTGGAAAGTCTAGGGAGCTCACACGGGCAGCCTGGAAATCCACACGGTCGTGTGGTTTTGACCGTGTAGCTTACCCAAAGCCACTTAAGTGAAACGCGACGTTTTGCACACTCACACGCGCAGCTGGGAAAGCCACACGACCGTGTGGCCTGGCCGTGTGGTCCGGAATTTCTGGGTTTTAACCCAATTTCGAGCAAAAGGAGAGGGAATCGACTTTTAGCAGCAAAAACAGATCCCTAGAGAGAGAAAGTGCGAAGAACACATCCTAGAAGTGATTTTGGAGCTGGGTTTCATCAATTGAGCTTGGAGATCATCATAGGAGTGAAGATTGACATCCCATAGTAGATTTTTCCCATTGTTATGAGTATGACTGCTTTGTATTCTGTTTCCCTCTCTCTCTCTCTCTATGGAGTAGAACTTCCTCTCACTTGGGTATGAAGAACCCTAGTTCCATGTGTTAGGAATCTTGATTGTAATTACGTTTGGATTGTGATATTGCTTGATTATAATCGATTGAAGTGTTTTGATTGAGTCAATTGAAGTCTGATCATCTTTTATTTATTTCTGTTGCAACCTAAGATAGATAGAATCTGATTAGGTTGTTAGAGCTTCTTCAATCGATAGTAGTGAATCGATTATACGAGAATTAGTCGATTCACTGCTTTGTACTGGAATCTAATTCCAGTAGTGGAGTTCTGTGTTCATTGCCTCAGCGTTCTATCCCGGTGAAGACTAGTCATCTGCCGGGTAGTTTGACTGAGAGGGCTTGGTCAGCTTAATAGATTCCAAGCTACTGTCTGATCTTCCGCAGTATAATCAGCAGTAAAGCAACCAAAAGTAATTACAACTGAGGCCTAACTAAGGAGCTAGGGGCACTCATTCCTGGGTGACTCTTCCTTTGCTTCAGAAAACCGAACCATTTCCTGCTTTCTTACTGCTTTCACTTAAATCAACAATCACTCAACTTAGTTTGCTAGATAACAGATATACATGGAATAGGCAGTAGATCTAGACCTCGGGTTGACAATTAGAGCTTGCATGTTACTGCATTTCCAGACTGCGATTACACTTGGTCGCAGTTTGGTGTTGTGTTTTAGCGTGTCAGTCAGATAGGGTCCGTTGCTCGCTATCAAGAGGAGTTTGAGGAGTTACGTTCTCGAATGCTCCATCTCAATCCAGCTCTCAATGAACACTACTTCATCCTCGGTTTTTTGGGAGGCTTGGGCGAGGAGTTCAACCTAGGGTACAGGTTCTCAATCCTCCTACCTTGGCGTGTGCTTTCTATCAAGCTCGTCTGGAAGAAACAGTCATTGACGCACGCAAGCGGAAGAGTCGAGTTTCATCTTCCAATCGCTGGGGTAGTTCATCATCGTCAGTTCAGCCGAAGGCTTCTCCTCTCACCCCATCGCCTCACTCCACGGACCGCCTTCCTATTCCTCGTGGTCAGGGTCTTTGCTACACGTGTGGCGACAAGTAGTTCCACGGCCATATCTGTGCGAAGAAAAAGCAACTTCAGGTGATGCAGGCTGATGACTCGGGGATGCCAAGTGAATCTGAGGAACTTGATGAAGAGTATCAAGACGCGGAGCTGGAAGTTTCTTTGCATTCCATGGCTCCGGATTTGCTGGGAATTTGTTGCTCATCCCCGCTACTGCAGGCAACAAAGAGGTCACGGTTCTGATTGACACAGGTAGCTCTCACACATTTCTGAACTCACTTAGGGCAGAGGAACTGAATTGTATGACAGAGAGCATTGCTCCTATGATAGTCAAGGTAGCTAGTGGACATACCCTCCTTAGCAGTGTAGTTTATAGGGGTTTTAGTTTGTAGATGCAGGGGCAGGAGTTTGGATTTGATGTCAGAACTTTAGACTTACCTTCTCATGATCTGGTTTTGGGTTGGGACTGGCTGGAAACGATTAGTCCCTTTCAGATGGATCTCAAGAAGAGGCCGTTGTCGTTTGATTGGAAAGGGGGCACTATGTGTTTGCAGGGTCTTTCTAAAGATGGACAGTGTAGATTGCTTAGTGGTCGCCAATTTCAGCAGCTTTTGAAGGACCCTTCTTCCCATGTAACAGGAGTTGTCTTTGCCATTGAAGCCACTCCTCCAGACCTTAGCCCTACTCCGCCATTTTTGCAACCTCTACTGGACTCATACTCTGATGTGTTTGCTGCTCCATCCTCCTTGCCTCCCCCACGATCATTTGATCACACCATTCCCCTGTTACCCTCTACTAAACCCATTAACATTCGGCCATACTGTTTCCCCCATCATCAGAAAGCTGTTGCTAAGAAGTTGGTGGCTGAAATGCTGCAGTCTTAGTTCATACAGCCCAGTCATAGCCCATATGCCTCTCTTGTTCTATTGATTGGAAAGAAAGACGACACTTGGCATTTTTGTGTTGATTATAGGGAATTGAACTCCGCTACCATTAAAGATAAGTTTCCAATCCCTCACATTCAAGATTTGTTGGATGAGCTGAATGGTTCAGTTATATTCTCAAAGTTGGATCTCAGGGCAGGGTATCATCAGATAAGGATGCACCCTGATGATCAGTTTAAAACTACTTTTTGGACTCACCAAGGTCATTATGAGATTCGTGTAATGCCGTTTGGACTTACGAATGCTCCAGCTACTTTTCAAGCTCTGATGAACCATGTGTTTGGGAAATATCTGCGGCAGTTTATACTCGTTTTCTTTGACGACATTCTAGTTTACAACAGAACAGAGGAGGAACATGTGCGACACCTAGCCATTGCCTTGCAGTTGTTGAGGGATCATCAACTATATGCTAATGCATCTAAATGCGCTTTTGGACAGCCCAAGGTTGAGTATCTTGGTCATATAATTAGTAAAGAAGGGGTGGCAACGAATTCGAAGAAAGTTTCTGCGATGAAGACCTGGCCTCGACCTTTGAATGTTAAGCAGCTATGGGGATTTCTGGGTTTAACAGGCTATTACAGGAAATTCATTCGTAATTACGGTACAATCAGCAGACCACTGACTGATCTTTTGAGGAAAAATGGATTCAAGTGGAATCCAGAAGCTGAGTCTACCTTTGAGGTTCTCAAACGGGTTATGTGTGAAGCACCGGTGCTGGCCTTACCTGATTTCACTCTTCCTTTTACACTGGAGACTGATGCGTGTGGAACGGGCGTAGGGGCTGTGTTGACTCAAGGGGGTCTCCCTTTGGCATTTTTTAGCAAGGCTTTGGGGGTTCGAAATCAGGGATTGAGCACCTATGAGAAAGAGTACTTGGTTGTACTCTTGGAAGTCGATCACTGGCGGCATTATCTCAAGGGACGTCCTTTTACTATCGTCACAGATCATGAGAGCCTTAAATTCTTGTTGGGTTAGAAAGTGCACACTGCAATACAGAAAAAGGGTTTAGTCAAACTCATGGGACTGGATTCTCAGATCAAGTATCGAAGAGGGAAGTTTAATAGGGTTGTTGATGCTTTGTCGAGGGTTTTTGAGGATGTTGAGCAGGTGGTAGAAAGGGATTGCAATGCCATTACTACTGTCTTACCCGAATGGCTAGCTGAGATTGAAGCTACTTATGTTGATGACCCCGACGTTGCGGCCTGGATTACTGTTGTTGTTGTTACTTCACATGGACCATCCCTCTGGTCTTTCTCTTCGGGGGTGTTGCATTACAAAGGAGCCATAGTGGTTGGGAGGACAGGCGGTATGCAATCCAAATTGCTTCATCTATTTCATGCTTCACCAGTTGGGGGTCATTTAGGGGACCAAGTTACTTACCAACGCCTCCGGGCTCATTTTTATTGGAGAGGGATTAAGTCTGAAGTGGTCACATGGGTTTCTCGTTGTGATGTTTGCCAACGGTGTAAGACAGAAACGGTTGCTTCCCCTAGGTTGCTTCAACCGCTTCATGTTCCTACACAAGCTTGGAGGGATATAAGTATGGATTTCATATAGGGATTGCCCACTTCGAATGGTAAACATGTTATCTTAGTAGAGGTGGATCATTTAACAAAGGTTGCTCATTTCTTCAGCCTAAACCATCCTTACTCCGCTGCTGAGGTGGCCCAGATTTTCTTCGATGGGGTCTTTAAGTATCATGGGATGCCTTCGACCATTGTATGTGATAGGGATGCGACTTTCACAAGTCAGTTTTGGACGGAGTTCTTCAGATTGCAGAACACAGACATCCATTATTCGACGGCGTACCACCCGCAAACAGATGGGCAAACTGACCAGGTGAACATATGCCTTGAGGACTATCTCCGTTGCATGACATTTCAAAGACCTCATGACTGGGCGGATTGGTTAACGTTGGCATAATGGTGCTACAACACCCACCACCATCTTAGTCTGCAAATGACTCCCTTTGAGGCTCTCTATGGGTTTCCCCCTTCCCATTTTGGTCTAACACCTTCTTCTAATACACCAGTACGGGCTGTGGAGGACAGGGTGAGGAGACAACAGCAGCTTGTCGAGTTTCTGACTAACAGCATCACGATAGCCCAGAATCGGCAAAAGAGTACGCTGATCGAAGAAGGTCTGAACGAGTTTTGCAGGTCAAGGACTGGGTGTATTTGCGTTTGCAACCATATAGTCAGGGCTCTGTTGTGGGGAGACACGGCAACAAGCTGGGAGCAAAATACTTCGGCACGTATCAGATTGTGGCGCGAATTGGAGCTGTTGTGTATAAGCTGGCCTTGCCATCGCACTCTAAAATACACCCTGTTTTTCATGCGTCTCAGTTGAAGATGTGTCGATACACTGTACCACCAGCTGCTGACCACCTACCTGAACAAGATGACCTGGGTTCTTTGAAGTTGGAACCAGCTCGAATTTTAGCGCGTCTATTCGTGAAACAGAACAACAGGGTCATCGCTCAAGTATTGGTTTAGTGGGTACATCAAGAAGCTGAAGATGCTACTTGGGAGGAGTTGTCTTCCTTTAAACTTCAGTTTCTCGCCTTTCCAGCTTGAGGACAAGCTGTGTTTGAAGGGAGAGGGATTTGTAACAACCTGGCAGCCAACTGGCTTGATGACGTAGCACTGGAGATGAGTATAAATAGAGAGAGAGACTGTAGAAAAGAATATTCATTGATCAACTATTATGTTAAAAGCTACTTTACCCATTCTTAGTTTACAGTGATAAAACAATTCTCTCTTCGTCTCTTTCCTATCTCTTCTTCCTCCTGAAATCTCCCAAATTCGCTAGAGAAATCTTACACGATCCTTACACGTGATCGATAACTCGGAAAAGAGAATTCCAATGAATAGCCTCGTCGATCACTGCGTTCGTTGCCGTCGCCGAACCCAAAAAAGAGAGAAAAACCGAGACTCGAGAGAGGGGGGGAAAAGGGTAGTGAGAGTGGAGAGAGAGCAGATCAGAGCAGCTCCTCCGTCTTGCGATGGACTCGTGCCTTGTGAGGGAAGTTTTTTCGTATTAATCTGGGCCGGGGAAAGAAGAAACGTGTGGTGAGGGGTGTGTTTGGCTACGGACGGTCACAGCTGGAGCCGGAGGTTTGGGGCGTCCTGATTGGCCGACATATGAGGGGCGTCCTATCTTACCACACTTTTAACAAATTGTTAGACTTTCTCACGGGAAGATCCATGGTCTTCCTTACCTTTTTGTTTGAATCTTTCTCGTCCTTCATTTGGTTTCTCAATTGTTCTAAAAGAACTTCTTTCAGCATAAGGTTTATTAAAATTATTCCTATCTGATTGTCGAAAAGACAATCTTTCGGTACCTTCCCTTCTAGACTCAAACAGTCGATTAAACTGTCTAGACTCATTATAGGCTTTTCTGTCTTGGAAATCTCTTTTCATTTTCAACACTCGATGAATTTCTTTACTAATTAGGGCTAATTGCTTCTCAAAATCCTCCCCTAGGTCATTTTCTGTTTCACTATCGTAGTCTTGAGCCTTAAAAGCAATGACTTTTTTTCATCGGTTATCTTCTTTGTTCATTTATATAATGACTTCTTTGTGGCTTAACAAGGAGCCGACCAGCCTTTCAATGGATAAAACATTTGGATCCTTAGCTTCCTCTATTACAGTTCTTTTGGGTAACCACTCCCTAGGAAGACTTCTAAGTATTTTTCTAACAAGATTCTTAGTGGCAAATACTTTTCCTAGACCTTTTAGTATGTTAATAAGATCGTTAAACCTTTTATACATACTGGAAATTGATTCTCCAGAGCTCATTTCAAACGATTCATATTCATTCAAAAGCACATATAGTCTACTTTCCTTTATACCTCTAACGTACCTTCATGGGTAGTCTGAAGAGACTCCCATATTTCCTTGGCAGTTTCGCATTGAGCTACTTTACTTCTTTCTTCTGGGCAGAGAACAGAATGTGCATCGCCCTTGAATCCAGTTGAGATGAGAGTTTTGGCTCATCTTCCCATTTTTCTTCATCTTCATCATCCATAGGAATAGGCCCTTTACGGTAGGAATAGGCCCTTTACGGACTATTCCCCAGATGTCACCATCGATACCACAGAGATATATCCTCATCCTCTTTTTCCAGACTGTGTAATCCGTCCCATCAAACCATGGCGGATTCGTACTTGTAGAGTATGAAGCTTATGCAGACGAGGATCCTGTCATCCCAAATTGATCCTCTTCAACGATTGTTAATCCTTTGAAGAGCCCGCTCTGATACCAATTGTTAACTTAGGATGAGAAGAAGATCTTGAAACTTGACACTTAAACTCTTTTGTTGCAGCACTCATCTTAATAATTTGTAACACAAGAAAGATTTTATTGATAGCGAAAAGGATAACAGATTAAAAACAGCAAACATAGTCGAGCAAATTGAATTGGCTCTTTAAACTCACAACAAAGGACTAATTACTTGCCAAGCTTAAGTCATCCAGTTCGACAACACTATGACAAAGCTAAAATATGATCAATATAGTTAAATTATTCAAAAAATTGAGGTTCTTGCATATTTACAACTTCATTTTAGCAAAAATATGAGATAATAAAAGTAAATTATAAGTAATTTAACTAAAATTACATATAATTTAGTAAAATACAGGCTGAGAATGGGGCGGGAGAAGATAGGTCAGGTCGAGAAAAGTACTCAGGTGTGCCCCAACCCGCCTACGAGGTGGGTCAAACCCGTCTCAAAAAGGTCGAACGGGTCGGGTAGAACGGGTCAGTCAAAATTGTCATCTCTAATGTGGACGGGTTGTCGACATATTGATGTGAGCTATTTTGACCATACTAACTAAAAAATGATTTGGAATGTATATGAAAAAATATATGTGTTTTAACGGTTATTTGTTGCATAACAATTAAATTAGATAAGCATATAATATTTAATCATTAAGTATGCTTATTATATTTTACGTGACCTTTGAAATTTACTATATACCTGATAAAATAAAATAAAAATTATCTTACTTCATAACCTTGGTAGGAATTCCCTATAATTTTATCACATTTGATTAATATTTACTATTTATAAAAAAATAATATTTAGTAGTGACACTAAATAAGAAGTGCATCATCGCCTAAATCAAAGTATTGTTGATTATACATATGCAATTTTCACACATTCAATTGGAGTTGCATCGGCTTCTACTTATTTAAACTACTCATATGGTGCATGGAAATTAATGAGTTCGCCAAAATAATTACGAATAAAGACTAATAACATTAATAATTATTCATGTTGTTAGAGCTATATTGCAATAAAGACAAAGAATATTCATGGGTGCATGAAAGTCCACATCCTTATGTTCTTTTAAAAATTCAAAAAATATATTGCGGTAAATCTAAAAACTAAAATTAAAATTAAAAAATAATTTTCAGCCAATCTAAGATTTGACTCAACATATTAACATTAAATTTTCATGCTATAATAATTTTGTCATAACTTTAATAAAAAAATGGTATTGAGTGGTAACTGAAGAAGTTCCCAGTTGAAAGTTGAAACATTAAATGAAAACAAAAACAAAAACCTACCCGGCCAATCGGCCGGGCCACAATCTAGTTCGTTGCAGGCCCGCACAAAGGCTCAACCGTAAGGCAAACACTCAAGCGGGGGAATGGAAAAATCAATTCCCCAAATCACAGTTTGCCACCATTCCCCCAAAACACGAAACGCTCGGCGCCAACTTCTACCGCCAAACCCATTCCCGCCATTCACCAAGCGCGCCAATCTTTTCCCTCCCGTCCCGCCAGATCCCCAACCCTAACCTCCATTTTCCCTCCCATTTAAACCCTAAACTTCAATCCTCCAAACAGCAAACCCAAATTCTCTTCCATCCTCATTCCCCCCACCACCTGCTTGTTTTAATTCCCCAGAGAAGCCCATATCGCCGTTACCTATTCCCGATCATGGTAGTCGCTCTCCGTCCCGCTAACTTCTACGGCAGCAGCCTCCCTCGCCCTCGCTTCTTTGACCACAGCAGCCACCCCGGCCCTCGCATCTTCGATGATCTAACTGAACGCGTCGATCCTCCTGTCTCAGTCATGGATCCTTTCCTCTCCTGGGCTCATGAAGCTCACTGGTCCATGGGAGGCCTCAACACCCAGCGCTTCCGTCTCCAGGGTCGCATCGAAGGTAACATCGACAGGCTGCGCAAGTTCCGGGAGAAGCAAGTCAAATCGCAGACGGGAAATACCCCCAAGAAGCAGAACGATGCCGTCCCAGAAGCCGCCGGGAAGAAGAATCAGAAGAGGGCAGGATCCACTTCTCCCCCTCCGGCGCCTAGAGTGACGAAGAAGAGGAAGTTCATGGATCTGTTCGAGGATGAGAGTGAAAACCCAGAAGATGAGCCTAAGAGCGAGAGAACCAGGGGTAAGAAATTTCCGGCGAGGAAATTGGTTGGGGAGTTTGAGAGGGTTGCCAAGGAAACTGAGGCGAAGAAAAAGAACGGTAAGACGCAGGAATTCGTAGAATCGGTTGGGGTGAGGACAAGGAGAAGTGGGTTGGAGAAAGGCCATGACAGGGGTGCTGATTCGGTGATGAAGATTGTGGAAGAGTTGAACAAAGAGGGTTCCGAAGGGAAGAAGTCGAAGACGAGATTGAGGAAAGTTGGGGAAGATGGCCAAAAGGTTCCTGCTGATGCTGGAGGCAATGGTGGGAGTGTTAGGACTTCGCCAAGGTTGGCAAAGCAAAAATCGAGCTAGATCTGATCGTGTGTTTAGGGTTAGTCCTTTATCTTTCGGCGATTTAACGGTTTTCCTTGCTTTTGTTCTCATTAGTGAATCGATGTTTATAGGTTTATAGTTTGTCTTAACATTATCAATCCAATGTCTCATCGATGATAATTGCAAATGAGTTTATGGTACAGCACCTGTGTTAGTTACAAAAATTGTAACCCTGCAAGCTAAACTGTTATGATCAATCCAATGTCTCCTAGATCTTACAGCAAAGCAGCCAAGTGTCAATCCAATCTCTCCTCTATTATCATGGTAGAAGATTATACAACAAAGCACCCATATTGATTTCATGATGACCTCTATATCTAATTCGTCTATGCTACCATATAGTAAATATTCTGTATAAAATTGAGATGAGCAGAGGTAGAAGCCCAGAAGTGGGTGCGTGTTCATCTCGTACAGAATTGTGCACACAAAACTGAAAGTGTTGAACTTCAAGATTGTTCCATCACTGTTTGCGCAAGCACAGTTCTTTCAGATTCTGGTTCTCTTCTATGGCGCCTCGGAGTTTTGCCAGTTTGCATGACTGCTCGGTTATCAACTTATATGTTGATGCCCTTTCCCACGGGACAATACCAAAATCATCATTACTATCGTCCATGTCTTCAACAAATAGTTGCCACATCATAGCACCACCTCCGGCTCGCTTTCTCTTGGCAGATTTGTATATGATATCATAAACTGTTTTGTATAACCAGTCACGTTGAGATGGTTGGAAGTCCTTGTTCAGATTAGACAATCCAAATTCGGTGAAGAGAACAGGCTTGTTCAGCTCATAGTGACCATCTTCGATATGTGAGAGCATCCACTTGGAAACGAATGACAGTTTATCCTCAAATGATCGATGAGCAATCCTGAATCCAACACATAGAACAAACTTCAGGGTTGGCATAGCTTCATTTTTGTCACTTCAAAGAGTTTGTGTTGTATGATAAACAATACTTACCAATGGTCAGGGTATATGTGAACAGAGGCAAAATCAATGTGTGAAACCTTTGAGTTGCGAACGAAATCAGATCCAAGGTCTGCAGCCCAATCTGCTGGATTCACAGTCAGTCTTTTGGGGTTTTTAGGACCATAAAACCCTTCCAGCCCCACTGTTAGTAGATGATTCTTGTCAATTGATTTCACGTAAGCCGACATTTCTTCGATCCAATTCTGCAATCAGAAGTCTCATGACGTTAAACACTTCTTAGGAAAAATGGATTTCGTGGATCTTCGATTCTTTTAGACAAGTCGTTGGTCTTTTCGATTTTCCTTTGTCTGCTAAGCTAACCTTCCAGTTACAACTTACAAAGGTGGCAAATACATAGAATTGATGAGTCTTTGCAATTCGGCTGGAAGTTCTGCAATTGTATTCAACTAACCTAGGGACTTGGCCAGTCTAAGGAAGCTGAACTAAGATTTGAAAATCGTCACACCAAACCTATTTACAGAAACATCACATATCGTAACTGATTGCTGCTATGAGGAAACGAAGGAGTCAAGAAAAAGAAGTAGTGGACTTTTCCATCTTGGTATTCCAGAAGGACTCAAGGGTCAGAGATCCAAGAAACTTAAAAAGTAACATCAATTTTGCAAAAAAACTGATTCCTCGATAAGGTAATTGACAATGTTGAAAGTCCACTACTTACTTGAACAGTATCTCCTGAAGGATCTGTCATGCAACGGGGTTCATTCATCAATTCCCATGCAAAGATGGTTGGATCGTTCCTATATTCCAATCCCGTGACAGTGTTCCTTCTTGTCAGCATGGTCTGCAATAAGGATGCAATTAGACTTGACCATGTGTCCATGTTACCCAATCTCAGAAACTCAATGGTAGAAAAGGGAAAACAGGTGACTAAATGCAGCAGCAGATTCTTCTTTGCTTCATTGCTATGGCATAACTGATAACTGATAACTGATAACTGATAAGCAACTCCAGAATGACTTGAGGAAGATATGAAATCCCCCAGAACATATCAACTAAATAAAGGCTGTAGATAAAGTTCAGCAGTAAATACCTGTAAATAATGCTTAAAGTACTTTTTGATGGATGGATCATAGAAGAAAGAATCATTGGAAGCGCTCAAGCCAACCCCTTCTTCCCAAGCCCACTTCACATATCGATCCTTACCGCCATATGGTTTTAAGTTATTCACTAAACTAAGAAGCAGCCTGACTTTATGTGCTTTCGCCTCAGCAATCACGTGATCCAACGCCTGAATCATAAGCAAAAGTAAAAGATGAAGCATGAAATGATAATGACAAATTACACCAATTGAAGACCTAACAACGAGCATGATAGTTAGTAGTTACACTTTGCATATTTAGATGGACTAACCCTCCCATCAAAGAGCAAATATGCCGAAAATGAATTGACTACCGAAAACGAGATACAAGACAAGGCAAACGTTACACCGTTCTTTCTGGAAAACCAGATCAGGAGAAACAACAAAGTACAACAGACCCACTAATCGTGACAGAAACCCATGTTCCCTCTGCAACATCCAACAGACAGTTGTCAAGGAGCAGTGGCGTTATTTTACCAGTCCCATCTACCCAATTTAAAGAGCCAGCGCATAACCAAACCTGGAAAAAGGGAAAAAAACTGAAAGAAAGAGAAGCAAAGGCCAACTCCTTTCAACTGACTTCAACCGACAATGAGATTTTAACTAAAAATTGTGAACAAGTAATTCATATCGAGGAAGAGAGCATCTAAGATCCAAGCCACAAATCTAAGAAGCAGAATAAAAGGCTTAACACCAGTACTATAACTACAAGCATTACATGACAAATTGATCTAACAAGAAGAAGCAACAAAATGAAGATAATTTGTAAAAGACCGTAGCATAAAAAAACAGGCAATCTGAATTTAATCATACCCTGAAAACTTTCTCCTCAAATCGGCCAGGAGAGACCTGAAGTGCATTGTGGCCGCCATCATTGAACGCCCAAGTTCTACAGACGGTGAGACCCATTTTTGAACCAGCTTCCAGCATTGCAGTAGTCTTGTGTTTCCTCTGGTTATCGGCGGAATGGTCCATCAACCAATACGAATTCCACCCATTGATATAAAACGGCTTCCCATCCAACATAAACCGAGTCCCATTTCTCTGCACAAAACTCCACGCCGGTCCCACAGGATACGCCGGCCACAGGTCGCCAAATGAAAGATAAATGAAGACCACACATGAAGCAACCCCCAGAATCGGGATGAAAGGACCAGTCCCTCCCATTCTTCTTCTTTTGCCCCAATTCAAAATTGACCCTCTTGTAGTAGATTTCAGCACCAAACGCATGCAAGCACAACCCAATAACCAAAGATCCGTCTTTTCCCTCCTGGGAACTGCTTTGCGATTACCTGAAACTCCACTAAACCTTAATGGGGAAGCCCAAATTGAACCGCATTACTTTATGCAAAAGCTGACTACTTCTTCGGCTAATGTTGTGGGGATTTATATAATGGAGACAGAGAGCCAAGCAAAATCAAGGGGAGCTGGCTCTTGTCTTGCGCGAGAAACGCAGGTGAGACGGAAAATCAAAGGAGAAATCGGTGAAGGAGACCAAAAGCATGAAGATAAAAGGGAGAGCGGACCTAATTGGAAGACCGGACAAGACCCAGATGGAGAGTGACCTAAAAAGAGAAACCGAGGAAGGGAAGAATGAGGGTGGGTGGAATGTAGGTATCTGATTGTTGGTAAGAAATGTAGATCTGGAGAGGACCCTTGTGGGGAAATCCTTAAGATTTTCTGCTCCCTTCCCAACGAGATGGCTTCAAATTTAATATTCCAGAACTGACAAGCTTCCAACTTCATTCATACCCCCCACGCTCTAGCCTCTCTCTCTCCCTGCATCTGCCAATAGGGCCAGAGAGGTCTGGATTTGGGATTTGGGATTTGGGTGCCTTGATCAAATCATCTCCTTCGCGATTTCCCTTTGATTCCTGCCTTTCTCGATGCTTTACTTGAACCAAAATTGTTATAAGAAGCAAAAGGAAAGCCGAGAAAAGGAAGAAAATTGGGGAAGAACGGAAAAGCTCGTTATAACAATAGTCAATTGAGGTGGGTTGATAATGAATGCCTTTTGTCTTTGAGGTGTTCTGTTTCGGCATGTAAGTTTTGTGAATTTTTCTTTTTTCCATTTCTTGTTCCTTTAAAATAATTTTGGTCCTCTAGATTTTTTCTGGTGAAAGTCCTATAGTTGGTCACTCGAAATAGTAAAATAGCTCATGTTTGATTACTCTTTATAAGTCGCCGACAGTCTCAATTAACACTATCAGTCATTTGCTTATGTGGCTAACAGAAGTACTGACGTGCCTTGTTTTAACCCGCCATATCATTAAACCCGACTCTCCACATCATCAAACCCACCACGTCACCAAAAAGAAAAAGTTGGGTGCTCCGGGTGTCCACGTCACTCGTGCACCGCCCCAATAAATTAGTGCTACGTGTTAATGGTTTATAAACTCAAAAAAGCAATTGCGTCCTTACCGTATGAAACCGACGCGTCATCATCCTGCCCCTAACCCGACCACAAATACCCTCCGATGAAGTTGAAATTAGTTGTATAACAACAATAAACCAAGCAACATAGCTTCTTCTTAGGGTGTGGATCGAGAAAAGTGCTAGGATCCAAATCAATCAACCTTCAAGGAGAAATTTGGGTTCGGAATATCCACATGAAGGCAAAGCTTCTTACCCAATCCCTATATATTGCCTTTTCACGGTCGTTAACACGCTGCCTCTTTTTCTCCTCTGGCCGCAAGACACCCAACCATTTCCCCGATCAAAATCAGTGTGAGGAAATAGGAGGTAAAACCTTCCCAGGAGAAACACAACTGATTGTCGGCGGTTGGGAAGTTGAATTAATTCCTCTTTTGAGACTTTACATACTCATTTCTTTGTATATATCTTTGATTACGGCTAAATCGGAGATCCTAATTAATCTAAACCTTTCCCCTTCTTATGAAACTACAAAAAGTACAAAGTCAAACAGAGGGAGGGGGTTTGCATGATTTATTCCTCGTCAGTTTCGATACCTCCATAAGAGCTGATTTTCCCATCAACGAATGACTTCCCTGGTTTTCATCGGAAGGTAATTGATGAAATGGTCTCAAGGCGAGACTAAACCTTGCGAGAATCAACAAAAGAAGCTTTCAGTCATGTCGATTGGGGATCTCTTGGGATCGAGACATTTGCCGGTTCTGCGGCGGCGTTAAACTGAGGGTTTTTGCACTTTTCTATCACGCGTCTTACTTTCTATTTTGATTATTTAATTACACAAAAAATCATCTTTCGATAACTTAAAATGACGACATGCCATGTTTTAATTGGCTTTGGGCACCACATAAGCAATCCTTGTTGGTGCACTCGCCCCATAGAAGTTTTTCTCCATCACCAAAACCAACTCAACCCATAACCAAACCAGACTCAAGCCGTAAATCAAAACCAACCTTCTCCACTAGAATCCCCTTTTCATGCGTCGTCTCCTTCTCCACGGTGAGACCTAGCTCTTCTTCCATTTTCTGGCTTCCCCGAGTTGTGTGGTTGGGGCCAAAATGACTGGCCGCTGTCACAGCAGCAAACTCAACCGCCATGGAACCTATTTCCATTTCACTCTCTACTCGTGCATGCGCCTCTTACGATAGAGATTTGACTAGCTAATGCGTGCTCTCGATTCACGTCATTACCTAATTAATGAAGAATAAGGAAGTTAGGATAGTATATATTTAATTGTGGGCTTCTATGAAGCATAATTATAGTCTATAGCATTGATGATCTAACAATCATGCATTTATACTAATCGAAGCATTGATGGGTGATCAATCCTCTCATGCTCGTGTAGCATCAATGGGGTATCACTAGAAGGTAATTTCTTGACAATCTAGGCAATACTAAGCACAATGCATATAGTAGCATACAATAGAATCATTAGTATCAATGATATTAAGAGCATTCATGCTATAGAAACACCAATGACCATCATAAGCATCGAAAACAATAAAGCAATCAATGATCATCATAGGCATCAAAATTCATAGACAAACACAAGCCTGAGATGAAATCATAACATTCGTCCACAAAACAATAAACAAGGTCAAATTCCAATACAACCAATTTTGACTAGCTACATAGAAGAGAAGGAAGGTATCACCATTGATGATGGCAACATCTCTTCAGCTGCAGACCCCTCTACTTCTTCTAGACTACGCACTCATGTAGAGTGTTATAGAGATTTGTGTGATTATGTAGGCTTACTCTTACAATTGGAGTCATGCACTTTATTTATGGGGGAGAATTCGGCCTAAAACAACCTAAACAGACTATGAAAGAGTCTCCCAAAACTAGTAGACTTAGAAACTTTGTCAACAAGCCAAAGGGAGGGCGGCGGCGGTACGTCGGTTGGACTCGCCGCTCTGATTCTTCCTGGTTTGGGTTACTTGATCCATGGACTTTAATTCTTGATGATTTGGCCTGCAACTTAGATAGTGACGGTTTGACCGACCCCTAGCTTGGGTCGCCGCTCTTTCTTGCTTCATAATGGGCTAATTTTTTGGGCTCGTCTTGACATAATCTAGCAACTTCTAGTTGATTTCTCAGTCATTAATCACTCCTTCTTTGTCAAAACTCCTTAAAGTCAGCGTGCTTCCTTCCACGGTCAATGCCCCTTAGACAAATCAAGAAAAATAGAAAAAGTAGATTAACACCCTAAGAACCAACAATAAATGAATCAAAATCGAGCATGCATTAGGTTTTATTAAGTTCGTCTTACCTCAGCAAAAGCCACTGGCGTCGTTTCATTCCCATAAATCCCATCGTACAATCGACCCAGAAAAGAGATGTAGGGAGAAATCAGATTGAGTAAAGAAGAGGGAGATTAGGTTACCTTCGGTTTGTATCTTTTATTTGGGCGGAGTTTGACTCTAGGAAAGGAAGAGAGAAGTAGAGAAGAAGGATCCAACTTTTCTTATCTCTGCAATAGGAAGAGAGAACGAGAGAATGAAAAGAAGGAAGCTTTTCTTCGTATCTGGGAAAGGAAGACAGAACGAGAGTTTAATTTGGTTCAGAATTTTGTGGGTGGGAAATTTTGGGCGGGGGAAAATGTGTGGGGGGAAACTTTTTCATTTTGGTGGGAATTTTTTTAAAGAGAATTGTTTCGTTTTTTATTTTGGGAGCCAAAATTTCTTTCTTTACACTGTGAAGTTTTTGTTTCACTTTTTCCTGAAATCTTTGGAGCCAAACAAAATTTTTGGAGGCAATGAAAGTTTGGAGGTAAAAAACTTAAATCTCCCTCTTACAATTTGGAGCACAATTTTTTACGAAAGAAATTACCACAATTGTTCACCAAAATTATCGTTGATTAATCATTAATCACAAAAAATGAATACTAAAAATTTAATAAATAAATTCCTATGACTAGAAGTATATAACTAATTACAGGACTTTTTACCGTAACTATTAGTATTGTTTTTAACACAGGAAACTTCCCCGTGAATAAGATCCTGTGACTATAAATTAGTTTTCCTGTAGTGCTAGGAGCTCCATAGAAGCGTTGGCTACAACAGTCCTTACCTTGGGTATCAATTGAGAGTAGGATCTCTATTTGCTTCACTTCAAGCAACTGAAGCATTGGTGACAATAGTCCTTAATTACCAAAGCTTGTCCAAACATGGTCAACTACACGAGAAAATACGTATAAACCCTAATCAATTCTGCTCACCTTGATCGATGGAGAAACAAAAGGAATGGCTAAGGAAATAGCATAGAGAGGAGAAGAGATTGTTGAGCATAGCTCAACCTTAGCTAAGGACGGGGACAAGAAGCAGAGGAGCAGAGAAAAGAAAACAAAATGGAACTAAGTGTGTATGGAAGGATAGGTGGGTGGTTTTATACCACATCGTTGGTGGAAGGAAAATTCCACACTTCACACAACTATATAAGATTGGTAGTTTTCGTAGATCAACTAAGTCCATAAAATGTCAAATAAGTGGTCCTAACAATGGGCCGCAAATTTTGGTGTTTTTCTGGCCCAGTGGTGGCTCTTTTTGTGGTGGCTCTTTTTGTGGCCGTTGTAAGGTATATCCTATTGGGCTCATCGTTGGGCTTTGGTTAGTCGTTTTTGATCGGTTGACCGGGACCCGCCGTGTTTCGACCGATTATGGTTAGTTTAACCGATTAGCAGCTTTCGCCTGCCAACAATTGAGCCAAAATGTTTTAATAGGTTATTGGGCAGGCCGATAACGGGCACCTATACTTGCTTGTCAACATGTGTTTGTATGAGTTCTTGCTTGTGAACATGTGTTTGTATAAGTTTTACTTAGACAACCATAATATTATGATCTAATTTTACAAGTCTAAAAGTTTTAGGAGCAACTTACTGATGATTTTGTCTGTTTCATTTTGTGTATGATTTGAGTTTCTCTTGGTGCGGGTAGGGTTTGAGAAGGTAAAAGTTATTTTCTTTACATTTGTTCTCTTTTTTTCCTGTATTTATGTTGTTTGCTTAGGTAAGGAATCAATTTATTATTAAGTTTTTGGCGGTGATGTTACACAGAGCGAAGTTCCCCCCAATACTACTGCCCAAAAATTTGATTCCCCCCCACCCGTCGAGACTCGCCAATAATTCCCTCCTGTAATGTTTCCCCAAAATTTTGTTTCCCACCACCTTTGAGTCTTTGACTTTGAGCAGTGATTCCTTTTTTTTTAAGTATTCTGCTAGCTTCATATAGTTACGATTTACAACTCACTAGTAATCACCAAAAAGTAACGCGATGTTCTGGTCCGTAAAACCCGCAACCCGAACCGCCCGACCCGCAACCCGATTGACCCGCACCCGATTGACCGGTAACCCGATTGGCCCGCAACCCTATTGGCCCGCATCCCGATTGACACGTAACCCGATTGATCCGCAACCCGATTGACTCGTAACCCGCGTAACCCGCAACCCGATCAACCCGAACCCGATGAACCGCAACCCGAATGAACCCAGCCCGAACCCGCCCGATTGACACCTCTAAATAAAATGGTTGCTCCGAAAAACGTCGACGAGATGACACAATTGCACTATTAAAAAAAAGTGACTGAGTGGAAAACAATGTGTCCGATTAGTTGGTGATTACTTTATTAGTGTTGGAGCGTGATTCCACCACTATAAAGGTTTCGATACTAGACAAAGACTAAAATGATTCCACCACTATAAAGGTTTCGGTACTAGACAAAGATTTTGCTACCTGAGTTAGTTGCACCATAAACCTCTATTAATACCAATCTACGTCATTTGTTTATTACTCTAAAACTCGTGTAACAAATTCTTATGGCTTTTGAGATTGGTGAAGAAGAAAAGATATCGAAATAAAGGTACTTGTTATTGCGATACGGGTTGATCAACAGTTCACGGGTTGTGTTACCCAAAATCCAAACCCAAACCAAAAAAAGCGGGTTGTACAAAAATAAACTCATCTAACCTTGAACCATAATTTTAGCGGTAAATACAAGTGAGTTGATTGGGTTGAACTGGTGAGTCGGTTTGTAGGTGGTTTTGTTCACCCGTAGCAAAGGCCACGACACCACCTCCTTGTCATCTCATCTGCTCTCACTTTCTGCCTTGCCACAAAATGCAAATTTGTCATTATATTCATTCCTATTAGTACAGATGACCATTTATTATTATTTTTTAATTTCAAAGTAATAAAACAACATTAGAAGAAACTAATAACACTCTAATCCCCTTATACCCTCAAAGTAAAAAGTATGTGACAACTATATTGCAAAAATAAATGAATCTAATTCTAAAAACGAAATCGAAATGAAATTTTGTGTCACTAAACGCTATCAAAAGTGAGCAATGTCAATCTCTCTCAATATCTCTACTGTTCATCACCCTCAAGCTCTTGCTTACTCTTCTGCTTCCATTCATGGAGCCATCACAAACCACAACTCTTTCCCTATCTTCCCAAAAACATCTCCCTGTACCAACATAACCAAACCAATAGATATTGTATCCCAAAACCACCGGTAAAATAAGGATTGCACAAAAAAATGGCATGAAGCAACAATCAAGACAGTAGATGCTTTTGTCTTCCCACAGTTTCATGGGATTGACAGATCCAACATCGAACACAGAGAATGGAGGAAGTTCATTAGAGCTCAAGTGGAGGTCAAGATTGAGGATCCAATCCAAATAGCTTTTGAGTATCCGGTGGGGAACGATCAGTTTGGGTGAGTTGTAAATATGAAAGGGTCACTGACTTGTGTTATTTCTGTAGGAAGTTAGGGCATCTGATACAAAATTGTATGACAAGAGAAGAATGTCGAAGGAAGGGCCTTATCATTGAGGCGTTGGAGGTCTACACGGCCACACTAAAGGCATGGCATGACTCCCCGGCGAATACTCTGTCGACATTTTTCCGGCGCTGCCTCACTATGCAGATGGAAGAAAATCAGAGGAGGGGAAGAGAGCTCAAAATCCGAGGAAGTCAGGAGGTGTCATCCCACTTGAATCTGGCCCTAATCAGTCGCAATCTGAATATATCCTCCCCACCTGGGTTCGAGAACCTGCAAGGGGGGCTTCCTCCAGCAATCCTAGACTATCTTCCATGGGGATCAGAAAAAGTACTGGACAACTACTACCAACCACGCAGACTTGAAGAAGACTTGGAGAAGGTGACGGAAGCAATACAAACCAGTATGTTGCTCAATGATGATGAGCCCATTAGGATCAAGAGAATGGGGGAGAAGGAAAGAGGCCAGGACCAGCTGGGCCTCTTGGAAATGGGCCAACAACTGTCACTAGCTAGGCCGAGTGTCACTGTTCATCATGACAGCCCAAACCTTTTGATTAACCTCCTCAACTGAATATTCTGGGGGTGCATTGTTCAGGAGGTCCATTACTTGGTCCAACTAATAACTGGAATCCTAAGTGAGGAGAACTTAGCCAGCCCAAACAAGAAGAGGAAAGCAGACCAGCAAGCGGCGATAGAGACGATCTCGCCAGAGATTTCCTCATCCACTAACATGAGTGTTGATTCTCTTTTGTTTAATCCAGGAAAAGAATATCAAAGAAAGGCAAAGAAGAAGTATGTTTACCGAAGGAGTATGGTGGCAATCACAGCAGAAGAGAACCAATCTGAGAACGGGCAGAATTCAAAATCGAGGCTGGAGATGGCGAGCCTTGAGCCACCTCCTCAGGAATGAGGCTCATGAGCTAGAATTGTAGGGGATTTGGCCAATCCTTTACATGACGCTACTGCAAGAACTTTTGTCGTAGACTTGGGCATTCAATCCTTTTCTTAATGGAGACGAAACAAGAAGAAAGAAGCTTCATGGAAGGGAAAGGAAGGGGTTTGAAATTTTTAGATGCGGAGTATGTTAACCCTAGTGTAGGTGGTAGTGGTCTGGCTTTGTAGTGCCCGATAAGGAATGAAAACAGGGCTCTGTTTAAGTATTTTGTGGAATAGAATGCGTTGATTGATCTTGGATTTAATGGTCCGATTTTCACTTGGAAGAATATGCAAAGTGGAAACAACTTGATCAAGGAAAGACTTGACTATGCCTTGTGCTCGACGTCATGGAGATTACGATTTGAGAAAGCAAGGGTTTTTCATGAGATGTTTGTTGAATAAGATCATTGCCACATTCGTATTGATCTAGACCTGTGAGAAGACTGAAGTGAAACACCTATCAGATTTGACAAAAGATGGAGATTTAAGAAGAATGCAGCCTTATCATCACCGACATGTGGAATGGAGGTGGTGATTTGAACAGTAAACCGAATGAATGCGCCTATCAACTTGGGAGATGGGCTAAAGAGAAGCATAAACTTGATTTGAGGAGGGAACTAGAGATAAAAAAAAGAGTTGAACTGATCCAGAGTATGGATGATGCTGGTCCTCATAGGGAGGAAGAGACATCTCTTTTAAACGAGCTTAATCTTACTTAGGGGTGGTAATCGGTAAATCAGTTAGCGGTATAACCGGTTATTGAACTGGTAACCGGCAGTTATCAGTAGCCGATAATCGGCGGTACCAGTTGGCGGTAGTCAACAACCCCTAAATGGTATACAGATCGCCCCACGGTTAATTACCAGCGGTTAGCTAGTTTACCTGTAACCGAAATAATAGCCCAAAATGCAGGGAAAAGGCGGACGGAGTCAAACAAAACCACCCTAATTTGTTTGTTGTTGAACACACCATGTTTGTCGGTTTGGTGCTCTCTCACAAACAAAGAGGGAATGAACAAAAAACAAAGAATTGTGTGCATTTATTTAGTGTAATTGTGATTTGTTTGAATTTTCTAGACTAGTGTTTTATGTATGGATAATTTGTATGTGGAAATTGACGTTTGACTTTGATTTTGATAAGAACTTGTTATTGTAAATTTATTACCACAAAAAAAAATATATAATTTTTTTTACAGAATTTAATTTTCTAATATAGTCTGGCCTAGTGTTTTACTGTGTCCTGGATCCGTCGCTGTCGGTGAAGGAAATTAAAGAGGGAAGGAGGAGTGTGACTGTACATGGGCAACAGGTCGGGCCGCCCATGGGCTAGCATGACACGATTAGCGCACGGACACGAAATATTTGGGCCGACCCGACACGAGCACGAGCACGGGTACGACATGATATATAAATGCGCCGTGTCGGGTCTAATATTTACGAGACCCTAGTGAGTATAAGATTAAGAACGAACATGGCAGGAATAGAATATTTATTTGATAGAAAATAAATATAAAAAAGATTATAGGTCCAAATCTTAAAAAATACAAGTTGAATAAAATTATTTACGGTTATTAGAAGTGTTCATAAATATATATACATAATTATTACCATAATTAAAAATATACAAAGTATTAAACAAAGTCAAATCACATCCGCTATACTTTTAATTTTCTTTTCTCCCTTATTTGTTACATTTGTTACATTCTCGGTTAATACTTTCATTCTCCGTCCAATTTGTTCATTCTTTTTCATTCCCTCTTTTATTTTCTTCCTTTTCATTAAACATGAATATAAGCACGACACGAGCACGAATAAGCACGACACGATTCAAACTGTGTCCGAGCCTGGGCCGAGTCTAGAAAAATTAACAAATGGGCTGACACGACACGACAAGAAAATTGACAGGTCGTGTCAAGCATGGCACGAAATAAACGGGCTCGAAACGTAGCACGACACGAAATAAATGCGCTCGAAGCGTGCCCGTGATGTGCCCGTCCAAGCACGGCCTAACGCCCATGTACAAGTGGGACTATGTTTGTGAGTGTGAGTGTGAGTGTATACACAGTACACTATACGTCGGAAAAATCCCAAAATACTCTAACTATTAAAAAAAAATTCCCAAAATACAGTACTTATAAACTTATTTCCCAAAATACAGCAGTTTCAACATCACTGTTGTAGACCAAGACAGTGATGGAAATCACCGTTTTTGACCAAAACGGTGATAACATCATCGCTTTTAACCAAAACGGTGATGCTATCACCGTTTTGGACAAAAGGAGTGATGTGTTCACCGCCATTGTCCTCAGCGGTGATTGCTAAATAATTTTCCTATAAATACCGACCTCCACTTCCCCTCTTGCTACTTTACAGAAAATTAGTACAAAAATGAGTGTTTTATTAGTCGTTTTCTCAGCTGGTTTGGAGTTGGTTTACTGCTCAAGAAACTCGTCGGGATTCGGTATGTTATAATTTTGTAATGTTTACATGTTGATGTGTTAGTAATTTATATGTCTGTATTTAGTGAATTGCGGTTATTGGAAAATATGTTATGATATATTTAGATTAAGGGTTAATACTTTCGTATGGCCTGAACTTTGACCAAAATAAACATCCTGGCCAATCTTTTCGATCTATAACATCCTGGCCCGAACTATACACCTAAATAAACAATTTGGCCAGATTCGACTTTTGACCGTTAACTTGGACGGTCAAACGCGTTGACCGTTAGTCAACGCGCCATGTCACTGCCAAGTCAGCATAAAATATTCAAAATAATTCACAATTTCCACACATTCCCTAATTTTAAATTATTATAAATTTAAAAAAATCATCTAATACCTTAGTTAAACGGAAAAAAATTAAATATTTATCAGATCTTCTGAGTGATGTGGCAGTGACGTGGCTCTGACCGTTAGTCAACTCGTTTGACCGTCCAAGTTAACGGTCAAACATCGGGTTTGGCCAAATTGTTTATTTTGGTGTATAGTTCGGGCCAGGATGTTATAGATCGAAAAGATTGGTCATGATGTTTATTTTGGTCAAAGTTCAGGCCATACGAAAATATCAACCCTTAGATTAATTATGATATGATAGATGTTAGTTAGTTAGTACTGAATTTAGATGAATTTGTTTAGTTTTCTCATGATAGATCGGGAGTCGGTATGTTATAATTATGTATTGTTTACATGTTGATGTGTTAGTAATTATATGTCTGCATTTAGTGAATTGCGGTTATTGGAAAATATATTATGATATATTTAGATTAATTATGATATGATAGCTGTTAGTTAATTAGTTATGAATTTAGATGAATTTGTTTAGTTTTCTCATGATAGATCGGGCTTCGGTATGTTATAATTATGTATTGTTTACATGTTGATGTGTTAGTAATTATATGTTTGTATTTAGTGAATTGCAGTTATTGGAAAATATGTTATGATATATTTAGATTAATTATGATATGATAGATGTTAGTTAGTTAGTTAGTTATGAATTTAGATGAATTTGCTTAGTTTTCTCATGATAGATCAATTACATGCGTTTGTTTATGGGTTTGGATGATATTGTTTTTGTATCCCTAATGTACTAATTATATACTATACTTAATTATTATAAATTGCAGACATGGGTATATTTAAGAAGTTTCGGCTTATTATTCGGTGGAATGGTCGGGTGACAAACTCGAACATTGGGATCGACTATGAAAATGGCGAATCCACTATGCTAAAAATTGAGTCGAGATTCTCGTGGCAAGAATTCCATGACATTTGTGCATAAAGGACTTGTACGGGCGGGCAAAGGAGATTTGGTCAAATTGCTTACCGCTATCCAAACATGAGTGCTGGCGGAATCATGTACGAAAAAGTTGTCATAAATGATGATGACTCGGTGAACATGATGATACAGTTCCTATCTGACAACGGGTTGAGGCTTGCAGAGGTGTATGTCGAGACCGAGCCGGTCGGTGAAACTCATTCTCACCAGTATTCTTGTGATGATGGTTTTGCAGGAGGGTATGGCTGGGGTGGTAGTTCAAGTAACTACGGAGGAGGTACTTCTGCAGGAGGGTATGGCTGGGGTGGTACTTCAAGCAACTACGGAGGAGGTAGTTATGAAGGAGGTGTTGGGTGGGAAGAATACCCGCAACATGCTGAGACTGCCGTCAATATCGTTCAGCCCGACGGTGATCAATGGCCTGCTTGGGGTCCAGAGTGGGCTGACATTGAGAACACCCTTCGATCTGGGCGTACTTCGCATGACCAAGAAGACGATGTTGGTTATGCTAGTAACGATGACCATCCTGAGTCGAGCTATCCATTCGCCTCTAGTGACGATGAAAGTGAGGAAGATTTGAGATCAGTCAGTGAGGAGGAAGATACGGACGATATCGACGATATCGATGACAGAGAGGTGGCGTTCCGTCAGGCACCAACGCCTTACTACATAGAGGTTCCTGATCAATTTTTATATGGTCAGAACGATGCCCCTGACTTTCGGCCCATGCCTGTGTATAATCCGACTGCTAATTTGGAAGTGGGTATGGCGTTCACTTCGAAAGCCGATGTGCAAGATGCTTTTAGCGAAGAAGCCATGCGGCGTAACTTCGAATGGAAGGTAAAATATTCTGACACCA